ATTGAAAAAATCTCGACTTATATTTTGGTTTATACGGTACTTTTCTTATAATCCTCGTAAGCTTGCATAACATACAGCAAAGCCGAAAAAAATGCAACGAAAACTAAAGCTGATGTTTTTGTTCCAGGAAGTATGTGGGAAACACTTTTGGCATGATGTCAAGATTCAGGATTTTGCGCTGGGCAGCCAATCTTCTTTCAAAGAATGTCTCTTACGTCATGATGGCTTGCTGCGTGCTTCATAACTGCCTCTGTGATGAAGTCTTCTTTATTGTATATCGCCGAGTGGCTGTCGCTAAGACCACCTGCGGCCTGCTTGAGTTCCTGAAGAGTAATCGCTCTTTGTGACTCACTAAAGCAGTCAATTCTCTAGTGAGGACGAGAAGATAGTGTCCTCTACTCGAACAGTGCTGAGCATATTTGGTTGCATGAATTCGCGAAGCACTTGCCAATAAAACACATTTGCTTACTAATTTGGCGCACCTGTTGCACCACAATGAGGTCAACAAACAAGTTGGCATTTCAGTTTCTATTGGTGCCTTTGGTCCGCCAGATCAAGCCTTCTGATGTAACTAATTTTAGTGTAAGTACAACCTTCTCCAATGTATGCTGGAAGAACTCTGTCAAGACTCTGTGATAGAAACAGCCCCAGCTGATACGGCCAAGTTGTAGGCGCCCTTGCAACTGGCGTCATCTAATAAAATTAACTGGTAAATGCTTGAAAATATTGTGCTCATTCTAGTTTGACGCACAAGATGTAATGCTGCAAAAGATTTGTATTGTCAATGTTTTTTTAGACATTGTATTACAACGCCGCAATGCGCTCCTGCTCAATCACCGGTCCATAAACTTGGGGATACCCAGTCGTTAGCTTCGAGTTTTCTAATAAGTGCGACTTTTCTGTTCAGTTATGCTCCTAGTTCTCCTCATAGGTAGTACAGATGACTTTTTAGGTCTGCCAGTTCTAATCTTGCTTGACTTGTTCTTAAATACATCACCATTACGATTTATTTTTCTGCAGCCAGGAGTACATGGTGTACCTATCGAAGGAGTACGGCCACCAGCGTGGGTCCGGTCTTAGCGAGCCGCAGGGCACGCGTTAACCGTCACCGTGGCGGGAAACACGATACTGCTCAACGTCGCAACACTTTATTGTGGCAACACCAAACGCAGTACAGCCCGTTGCAAATAGGCGCGGCGGGAAAGCAAGTATAGGCTTATCCACGCCACGGGCACAAAGTACTACACAGGGGTGCCACGAGCACGTCTCCGCGGTAAAGGTGATCCACGAAGACACCGGGACAAAGGGCCCGGTTGCTCGAGCGAGGGCAAAGGCGCTCGCGTTGGCTTCGAAGGGAGACGGGTCGGCGTAGCTAGGCCACGCACTAGGACACCGTACTGCCCTTCGGCCGTGAGTACGCAGCGGGGCAACAAAAGGTGAGCGTTCGCATCGGGCGCGAGGCGCCGTCAGCGAAGTCCGACGAGCCCCGAGCGACGGGACTCGACGGACGGAAAAGAATGCGTGGCTCACCGTTTGAAGTCCCGGACTGTCCTCCCTGCTCCCGACGCAGCGCGCGAAAACCTCTCGGGAGGCTCCCCGCGCGGCGCCACAGTCAACATCCGCTACCGGGTGAGGGAGTTAAACGTCACTCCACCCTTCCCAGCGCGGCAGACAGAAAAGGAGGGCAGACATGTCGGGACATGAGAATGGTAGAAAAGGCGGCAAAGCCCGCGCAAAGGCAGCGGGCCAGCCTCAATTCCCACAACATACACTGCAGCCATACTTTAAAGTGATTTAAGTGATTTATTTTCCTGTACTTCTTGTTTTTTTTGTAATGGATTGTGTACTCAATTTGTTCACATATAAACTTGTGTTCTGGAATTAAATAACTAATAAAGACATTATTTGTTGACTTACATTGTCTTTGGCTGTTGTGGAATATATTTATGAAATATTTTTCGCTGCTTTTTGGCGATTAGAGAAGTACTGACTGAAAATTTTGAAAATAACAAGGCTTGAAATAAATTGATATGTGCAGATGTCATCTTCAATGAAATATCAATTAACCTAGAACATATTTCAAATAAATTTAAAGTATGTTATGCTACTGCATGAAAAATGGAAAAAACTTTTGACATCAACATACAGAAAGGTTCTGTACAAATGTATCGCAAGCGAAACTTGGATAGAATTGGGCGTGTTGGTACAACATGATTATAAGTGCAAATCAGGACAACCGACAGGTGGGAACAGAAGAAAGGACAGAGCGCTGACCTTCCAACAATTTGTTTCTTTCGAATGCCTTCACTTTTTGTACAGTTATACACTGTTGCAACAGCTATATGTGAAACACAATGATACAAGAATTTATCACGTAGACAAATCTAAATACATTGTTCTATTTCGGTGATCATGACAGAGGCATATGCGTTGGCAGAAGGGCGGTGCAAAAGGAATACTTGCTCTCCTCAAGCTACGTGAGCACTATCCCCCCCCTCAAAGCCACATCAGTGCCCCTCCTCTCCTGCTGTCACGAAACGAGCGCTCAAAAAGGGCGCACAGCCAAATTCTCGCGATAAAGCGCGAGAGAGACGCCGAGAGGTCAACGTTAAAAAAAAAAAAAGAAAACAAGCATCCAAAGGCTCCCCGGGCGCGCGTCCCTCTCTCCTCGGAAGCGTAGGTTCGCCAACGAACCTCCTCGCATCGGCGGCCGAACAAGCCCTAGAGAGTTCTCGATGGAAAGGGGCGTGGTGATGCAGGGTTGCGTCATCCGTCGCGGACGGCCCTCGTACCGTCTCGCCCTTTCCCCAGCCTTCGCTGCGCATCGCGCTGACGAAATGATGAGAATTTTCTGGAATCTCGCGCGGAAGGTATTTAACCGAGCATCAGAGATGGGAGATCAGGAGAAGAAGGAAGTTAGCGCCAGAGTGCGTTGGTTATCCCGCCGCGTCTGTCGGTGAAGGTTTTGTCCTTAGTGACAAAGCAGGAGAAGAAGAAAGTATGCGCCAGAGTGCGTAGGGTGTTCCGCCTTGTGGGCGAAGCCTTTTGTCCTCAGTGACAAACGAGGAGAAGAAGAGGTTTTCCACCTGAGGAGTGAAGACTCGAGCTACAGGCAAGAGTGTGTGTCTACCGCTATCGAGCGAAGACGCGTGGCAACAGCTGCGTGTGGGAAGCCGACGTGTTTCCGGCGAAGAAGTTTGAAGCTTGGAGAGCGGCCAAGTGAAGACGCGAGGTTTCCTGGAAGAGAAACTTCGGGGGCAGCGGAACGACAACAACGCTGGACTTTGAGTGAGTGATTCTCGGAAGAGTATCATCCAGACTTTTGTTCCAAGAACTTTGGACTGAATAAGTTTTCTAACTCTTTAGTCTTTAAGTGTCTTGGTTGTTCGATGCATGCGACTGCATTGTAGTGCGTGGTGTTGTCTGTGTCCGTTGTTTCGAGAGTGGCTGATTGTACTGCGTAGTACGTTGTTTGAATGGTGGCATATTGTATTCAACTATTGTCGAGTGTGCATACTCGTGTATCGTTTTGATCTGCCATAATTGAGAATATAATTTTGTTTTGTTTATCAACTCTCGGCTCTGACTTGTTGTTTGGGACACAGCCGGCGTCCGCTGGCGCGCCAAATAGGACCACTTCTAAATTGTCCACGCTTTCGTGGTGCGATTCGGGGGCCGATACTTCGGCCCTTGGAATTAGCCCGGCGATCGCCTCCCTAATTAACGGGACCTGTGACACCTGCCATGATGCAACATAAGGTTGCACCCCCTAAGGCAAAATTCTGGCCCATGTACGGAAGGCGAAGGTATTCCAAAGAAAAAAATATGGTTGGAAGTGCTGTGTCCTCTGTTCAGTCCCCTCCTGTCGGTTGCGCTGATTTGCACTCATACTCAAACAAAATAAACATATTGCAGCCATTCCACATCCAAGTTTTCCCATAGCATAAAGATTACTGACAGATATGTGTGACGCGTCTTTCAGTTCATAATTGGTGAGTTCATTTAGGAGCACAAGATAAGATATGGGACAACGAAGACTGTGTGCGAAAAGAAATATAAAAAAATTGTTATAGTTGGCTTGTGTTGTCCATACCGGATCTCGATCCACCGGTCTACATTGAGTAGACCAGAGGATAGGTTGTGAGAGCATATAATGATAAAGCAATGTTTTCCCTGACGGTTCTCTTGCCTTTCATTGTAAGAGCTAGCGAGCCGTTTTAAAGAATGCCATAAGTGGAAGTGGCTGCGAGATGATATGCAGTTGATAACTGAGACCAGCAGAATTTCAACTTAGTGAGTATTTTTAACATAATTTCAACATGTGTAGTATTCAGCCCCCCCCATTTAGTCAGTACGTGTATCATACAGACTTTGCCTCCCCCCTCATGCGCATGCCTATGAATATTCCACTGGTTATCTTGTCAAATAAAGAACTATTTTACATTCATGTGTTCGCTCGCCATAAACTGCGTTTCGGTTTAGTAAAGTGGATCAATGTGCTTGCACGTGATCGATGATACTGTTTTATTATGTCTCGGTTTTGTATGCACATAGTTAGTTGGTTGTTAGAGAGCACGTATGAAGCAAACAATAAAGAAGTTGCTGAAAGTTAGCGCTGTGTTGTGGTGATTGTGCTTCTCTTTTGTTTTCGTCCTTAGCCTGCGCTACCGCACACACACACCGAAGCGCATGTGCTGCGGCATTCTACTCTGATGGCCTGGGAACTGTAAGATAATCTTCGCTTGGAGAGAACACTTAAGTTCAAAATCTCCCACGCAAGTTATTTTACAGTGTTGCTAGCATGAATTTTGAACGAGTAGCAAGGTTTGGGGTCTCGCGCGCAGGGTACTTGCTTTAATTGCACATTTAGTGACGGCATAAAAAATGAACTGATGTGGTCTCGCACGCAAGCACACATAATTTTTCATTTACATAATAGAATTCCGAAAGTGCATTTCTGGCGTCACCTGGCGGCAGCAAGTATCGAGCACGTATCGAGTCAGTGTGCGTGCATTTGTTTGTTGGTTCGTTCGCATGGTTCGTCTGCAGGGTAGGTGTGCTTCCAAGAGCATGGCATGGCTGTTGTCACCAACGCTGATGGATCATCGATGTCTGCGGAGAACGAGCAGCGCGCTAGGTAAGCCATCATTCAACAACTACCACAGCGTCTTCGATGGAACCGGTTTTTGTAAACATCGCGACGCGAATTGAACGGAACGACCGGGACTTTCGGGTCGTAGTGACGCGTGTTGTGCTGCGCTGAGCAATGTTTTGTACGGTTTACCTACCGGCGATTTCGTTATTCTCGTTCTCTGAGAGACCATCGCCGCACTGGGTGGCCGCGGGCTTGGCCCAGTGCGTCCCGCGAAGCGCGTGTCGGCTGATCAAAGCGCTGCTTTGCATAGCTTGCATACGACGCGCTCGTCGATAGCAAAAGCAAGGCGAACGCTCGAGTGCTTGGCCGCTGTCGAGGCCGCGCTCGAGCGTGCAAGTATCTCGCTCTTTCTCCGGCGGGCGCTGCACCGCGAAACTGGAGACGATGACGCCCCTTGGGGCGTCAAGCGCTGCCGACAGCAAGCTCTTTTCTTGCACGGTTTGCTGAACGTGCCAGGAAAAGCGACGCATCGGCACAGTGTGGAGGAAGGAAATACATATTAAAAAAATAAAAAGGGTTTCGAGGTTGGCGCACGCTCATCCTTTTAGATTGCGGACGCCGTCACTCGGCATCATAATTCGATCAGCGCGTGTTCTGCTACAGTGATTTCCGAGGCTCGTCTTGCGCTCGTACACTTTGCAGGCATGTGTCGCTATGGACGACGACCTAGCACATGTACAGCGTCATGGTTTCGTTTGCAGCGTGCTTAATTCATCAAAACAACGTTGTATGAGGCACGAAAAACTTGGCCGTAGTTTTATTTAATTTTCAAAAGTAATTTCGATGGCTATCTTAACCTGGGTTTCGAAAAGATCAAAAGAACTACGCGCTGTTCAACGCGGTCGTGCATCTTGTATCAGGTACGCAGGAGCTTTAGGCAAACATGACATTAAATGCTCAACACAGTGTGTCACAACAATACCTGTTGTGCAGCACTTTTTAAAACCTAATAGGATAAACAGAGCAGCATATTGATAAATGGGGGAATTAATGGTTGTACATCCAGTGAGAAAAATAATTCCACCAATCAGTGGCCTCATTTGTACAGCTTGAATGATTTTTTGCATTATTAACTAAAACAACTGACCACATCCAGCAGTTGCTGAATTGCTCGTAAGCAGCAATATGCATTCTCGGCTCACACATGCACTGCCAGATCAGATGGAAGGCTAATCATGCAAGTACTTTTGTATGGTTATAAACGTAAGTCGACGATCAAGGATTGCCATTGGAGTGTGTGTCCAAACTTTTCAGCAGCCACTACTTTGTTTGGCAAAGTATTTTTTTTATCTCCAGCACACTCATTGTGAGAGAAGGAGAGTAAGCTTGTGGAAAAGGAAAAAGGGGGCTAATGTTTGAGTAATCAAAAGCAATGAAATAATAAATGAAAACTTCATACCTTGGTGGTAAAGAAAGCCATGCGTTTATTGAAAGACTTTCATTACGATGTCTCTGGTCGCCTTAGTCATATGACGTGTTAATTTGGTGCGTATCAATCTGTTAATCTTAAATAAATCCGTCTTAAAAGCAACCTAGAATTTCAACTAGGGTGTTGAATTGGGCTTGTTATTGAGCTGTACAGGCGGAAAGCGTAGGCAGAATACGTAAACGCACAGCATTGATGTTGTCTGCCCTGTTTTGAGTGCTTTCTTTAATTATTAGGTTTTGTGCTAATTTGCTTTTTGTCAGGGAACATACTTTTGACACTCCTCTCACATCTTTAAGATAAATCACTTTGTACTTTCGAAGTTTCTGTCAGTGTGAATCTTTATTTACTGAAGCAACATCTTGTAGTGGCTTGTGCATTCTATAGCTGACACCACATTAACGTACTCTACATATGGCCCTCCGGTGTATTATTAGCATCTGGAAAAGATGTTGTAGTGCAGGGTGATTTATTACCTCTTTGCACCAGTGCATAAAAATAAGTTGGATGAATTGGCAGCGATTCATTGTTCATGTCTGTTAATGCATCAATATATGTTGCTCTTAGGTGTCATAGACATTGATGCATATTGAAGCATTTGTCAAAGCAGAAGGTCTCGTGCCATTGTTTGCATGCCATGCAGATTGTTAATGATCCATTGTTAAACTCTAGCATAGGCTGTAGGTGAAGCTGGAGTTAACGAACGAGTATTATTTGCATGTTTAATTTTTTTATGTGCTCCAGTTGGACAGTGAATCACTGTATTGACGAGAAAAAAAAAACGAATTATTCTGAATGAATGGGGACACAGGAAGAAGACGCACAGCACATCACGTCATTTTCTTGTTATCAGTATGTACAAACAAGCCAATGTTTCAACTGCACTGAATCGCTACGTAAAGGCAAGACTGCATACAAGTCAGAAGCTATATTATATACGTGTGCAAGTTTTTCTTTATTTACTCAATTGTAACACAACTGCAATGTGAAAGGTGCCTTTCCAGGAGAAAAAAAAAAAAATAACAACAGGGTGTGCATCATTCTACTTTTTAGACAACTTGAATTTTGGCATTTAATTGTGATACATAGGTACACTTCACATTGCGAAAATCTCGAAAAAAAAACAAAACAAAAAAGGCATTACACAAGAGTAAATAGAGTGTTAGATGATGTACCAGTGCAGTAAAAACCTGTTGATTGTTTCTACATAGGGAACCTGAAATTTTATTTGCACAGTCAGCATTTCATGCAATGCTGATGAATTCATTCATTGTAACTCTTTGAGGATATGTTCCTTCACTCTTTTGCTCAGGACCAACTTGCTTAGATATTATGTATGGCTAATTTTTATTTATTTTGGCCAAGTTGAGGATGAAATAAGGACCACATCTGTGGGTCTAAATTTCTGATTGCTATTGTTAGCAGGTCCCGTTGACAGATATCCAAGTAACAAATGTCATCCATAAATCTTGTGTATGATTCAGCCTGAAAAGCAAATAGGATTAAAAAGAAATAGAAGGCAGAACCAATTGTTTTTGAATTATGCTCAGATTTGAACACCAGTTGTTGCGCATACAAACTGGTGAACATTGTTTCTTGAACTATAGAGAAGCTTTCAGGCAACACGAATTGATTTCACACGTATTTCCGCCCACAAGTTCTGTTCACATGTATTTGTGTGAGCATGTTCACATGGGTTGTTAAAATGTGATATTTGAACCATTCAAATTTTGGCACCGTCTTTGCATGTTTATAATCAACATAACTTTGCATTGCACTCTTGAAAGTGTGACCATTTTCACTTTTGGCTGTGGACTTCTGGCACTTGCGCACTTGCGCAAATAGACCCTCTGTCCTTTACTACACTGTAGTGGACTAGATAACACGCATCCACACTGCTTCATTCACCCTATTCTATCAGAATATGCTGTCACCATAGATAACATGCCGCAGCAGTTGTACGCTGTTATCTTTATGACGAGGAAACTGTGCCATAAATTAGGCGACTCGAAACTATTCGAAGAACTGGAATGAATTCTCACATTCTGTTTTGCCTGCTGTGCTGTTTTAAATTTAGATAGTCTGTGGCGTTCTTCTGAGAGTAGCATAAAGCTCCAAAGTGATTGCATGTGGTTTGTCAAGAAATTAATCCACAATTGGGCAGTGCACAAAATTAAACTTATGAGAGAAGAAAACAGGACAAGTGTTGGTCCAGCGGTTGTCCTGTTTTTTTCTATCGTGCGTTTAATTTTGTGCACTGCTGAATTATGGATAAGTTCCAACTCGGCCACCTTTCAGTTCTGCTAAGTAAAGAAATCCTGGTAGTTGAAAAAAAAAAAAATTATGCCGTGGGAATAGGTGCAGTACGGCTATTACTGCCAGCTTACAATTTGGCTGAACATGTGAAAGCTCGTGCACAAAGTTCTGTCGCAGAAGACTATGGGAGATATGCTCTTTTTGCCATGTGTAATATTTTGATTCATAAATATATGTGAAATATTATCATATTGGAAGATTAATTTTAATATTTTACTACATTTTGCTATTGCAAAATGCTGAGCAAGTGTCCACCCTTTGGGAGATTTCGAATATCTGCCCCTTTCTCTCTTTCCACTGTTTTCAGTGTTTCTTCGTTCACTATTTTTGTCTGTGCTACAAAGGCATGTGAAAACAGTGAATACAGGTGCATTCAATAAAGCATTTTATTGGAAGCACGGATTTGCGTTTTTTATAACCACTTTAATATATTTGTTTAAGGGACTTAAAATTATTTCAGTCGATGAAATAATGTCGAATTGCCATTGAATGAATGGGTGTTTATTGTTCAGCGACTCTTTAAAGATACAGATTTTTTTAAAATAGCACATTTGCATTGTTTTGTGCAGCTTGCAGAGATAAATGGGCACATGATGCAAAAGTAGAATAGTAAAAAAAAGAAATGCACAAAGTAATCAAAGAGCTCTGACTCAAGCTAGTAACTAATTGTCCTGATGGTAATAAGGGAGGCTTTGTACACTTTACTTGTTCAGGATTGAAAACTTCTCGCTGACTTGGTAAACATTAGATAGTGCACACGCTGAATGCATGAAGCATTTATATTGATGTTAATGCACTTTTTCTCGAATACATAAGGTAAATATACATTGTACTGTATAAAATATGCAAACATTAGCTGTTTTGCTTATTAGCTGTAGGTACTCTTGTGAGTAAAAGGTTTGAGTACACAGAACCAATGAAAATGTGTTTCTTGTGTTGTGAACATGCATCTTAGGATTACGATGTGTGCTGAATTAAATGAATATGTGTGTTGTGCTATTGAATTTCGTACTTTATGTATAGGTCACAAGACATGCAGCATTCTTGTTCTGCAGACATTCGTGCATGACTGCACAGCATATGATGAATGCATGTGGCACTAACAATGCTGTTGTGCCTTCAATCACCAACTTTTCTATTTGGGATTCTGGCAGCACACTCTGCTAGGAGGGCGGTTCGCTGGAGTGACTTGTGTGTGTCTTCTCGCAGGGTGGGTCCCTATGGCTTTGAGTGGCCAGAAGGTTTTGACCACGAGGTTCACGAAACGTTCTGGCGTGGTTATCGGGCGGTGCTGGCGCGGCGCCTTCACAAGTGGGACCAGCTACTATCTAACGCCAGGCCTGCTGCCTACCCTAACCTCCGTCACAGCAGTGCCAAGCGTGCGTAGGCTTTATACACCCAATGTACTTCTGCAAAACTTCTGCACTTCTTCTGATGTACTTGTACACTGTTCAAATAACTCCTTCAGGATGCTGTGTCCACATTTGTAGACGCAACTCCTGTCTGCCAGTTCCACTGGCAGATCCAGAGGTGGGCTAGTAGGACTGATCCTATCCTTACTTCAGTACTCATAGTCCACCTCCTATCACCAACTAGGACAAAAGAGTGAAACTACTGAGAGCACTCATTAACAGTATTTGTGCTATGAAGGGGTTTTCCTGCTAGGAGAAACAAGAAAGTCATGACTACGCCCCCTCTTCAGTGCTAGTTTACGTGACCACCTCCTTTAGAATAAGTGGCTGGATACACCTCTTGCCAATTCTATCGAGTGGTGGCTAACAAAAAGCAAGGTTCATTTATTTTTGAGTGATCTAAACCTCCTGCATATTCGATGTGCCTTCATTCAACTTTAATGTTCTACATAATGGTACAAACGGTTACCTTGCTGAATTCACAACTACTATTTTAGATTAATTATTTGATGCAATGCATTCTGGTAGTTACGTCAATAGTGTATTTTAGCTTCATTTAATTGTATATAAGGAATAACAAGTTACTTATGTATTTCAATCCAGAGATTTTATGCTATTTATGTAAAACTATAACATCATTGATTTCAGAATTACTAAAGATTTTTAGTTGCTTTCTACCTATGGGTAATTACTGGAAAATCCACGAATCAACTCTTTGTCACCTTCTCTTTATCACAATAGAATATTGAATGCCTTGAAATAAACTATGTAAGTACAACATATTCACAGCTGATATATCACAATTTCCACCTTAAGGGTTAAGAAAAAATGAAAGGAGTGATAAATAAGACACTGCAGTCTTATCACTACTACTCTGTCTGTTTAAGAGCTAGAAAGGCAGCAGACTTGAAAGATATTTGAAGATATATGGAAGTGCCAAAGCACAAAAAAAAGCATGCCATAAAGAAACTGGTCTTACCTCGTTAGTCATTTCACTGCAATGTGAGAAACATTAAAAAAAAAAAAGGGGGTGTCCTCTTCTATCAAATTAATCATTTCAGGTTCTTAAAAACAGGCAAAGTAAGCAGTATCATACACATCAATGAAGGTAAATGATCTAATTATAGGATTTAAAGTGTTTGCTATTTTAACTTTGGTGCTTTTTGTGTGCGGAGTTGAAATATAAATTATCATTATATCGTTAAATGTGTATCCAACCAATAGAATGTGTGTCCACGCTACCCTCTGCTTTCCCATCATTCACCAGTGATTTTTATGAGCTCTAGCGCTCACAGGCTGTGAAGTACGGTGCTAGATCAGCATTGTTGATGCCTTGATGTAATGACGCTAGCAGCAATTTGACAGTAGTTGTTCGTTGCCTTGCAGTGAAGCGGTATGTGAGGAAAGGTGTTCCCCGAGAGCACAGGAAACAGGTAATGGTTAACCTTTTTCTTTATTTTTGTTCTTGCACATTTCCATGGAGCATATGTGGTTGCTTGAGCGGTTTAAGTGGAGGTGTGAGTAAAATTTCGTAACATGCCTTTCTTTAACCACACTAAAATCATCATCAAGTATGAATGTCAAAATGTACATACACTTGTCGGAGACTTTCATACTAAAAGGTGACACGATCATTGTATGTACACCTCATGTAGATGCTGACGGACATTTTCTTTTATTGTTTGCTACTATAATTTAATTTTTAGAAAGTGCCCATATTGTGTCTTCTTTTTGCTCATAAGTGCCCATATTGTGTCTTCTGTAGTATGCAGCATACCTTTCAACTGGCCCAACTTTGTGTTTCTCATCAGGTGTGGATGGTCCTGTCGGGAGCAGCTGCAATGCAGATTGAGCAACGAGGCCTTTACCAGTCACTGCTGCAGCAGAGCCGCCGGCCAGACCTTGTCGAGACCATCCAGATCGGTTAGTCTGCATTGGTGCAGTCACTTTTGGTATGCTGTAAACACCTGAAACTCTGTACTATACTGGAATCTCCATCTTTCATGCCTCTTCCCATCTGCCTCCTATCTTGACCAGACTTGATCATTCCTTTTACTTACAATGTTTGCTGCTGTTATTGCCCATTTAAATGAAGACATAAACACAGCAAAAGCTCGCAGGGGCTGCCTCTTAAACTACTGGGTCTGCACAGTAATTTAGATCTTGTCCAATACGTGATGCAGCGTATGGTATGACATTTAAAAGATGGCTTCTGCGTCTGTTGGAACGTGTACCGGTTTGAAGTTTGCTGTGTTGCTGCTTGGAATTTTTAACTTTCCCGGAATCGCACAGTGTGTCTTCTGTTTTGAAGATATTTCTCTCTTTCCCTCCTTCCTCTTTAAGTCGAGCTAAGTCTGAATGCGTGCTGCAGATCGGAAATTGGGAATGGACGGTTTTAGTCTAGAGTAGTATAAGCAAGGTACCACATGAAATGCGTTAGTGTAGCAGGGCCAGACTGTACGTCCATGAAGCATTGTGGCTGTTTAGTGGGCAGCATCCACCCACTGTTTTCGGAATTGAGTGAACAACACTAATGCGTGCAAACATTTTAGTGTGCAAAACATGGGGGTGGGGGCACCCTATGAGTTATGTCTGCCTGCTCTGCACTTATCGTGTTGTTCTGCTGCCTTGGAGAACTCACTGGTTCACATTAAATGATGTGTCTAGTTTACGCTTCATGTATTCTTTCTTTGGTTGTAGATGATAGGACAGCCTTATTTTCAACAGTGATGCTCGGTTCAGCACACTTTTATGTGGAGGGAAAATGTTCCTGTACATTCGTAAACACTTGTCACACCTTTACTTTAAAATTGACGGAGCACTATTTGCTTTCTTTAAAATAGTTTACATGCCTAAATTGTTTTGGACCCCCTGCAGCATCCGATATACCTCAAGATTGGTACTGAGCACGGTTGCGTTTTTGTTTGCCTGCACAGCTTGCTGCTTTCACTGTTCGCAGCTAGATGGCCCACTTTGTGGCACTTGTTTTCAACAGCATTATTAGCCCATTTTTAGTAGTTTTGGACTATTTCAGATTTAGTAAATTTAGTGTTTGCTATTCGATTCACACTGGAATCTTACTTTTTCAGCTATTCGAGCCTTCCAGATACAAATACAGTCAACGTCCAATTGGCAGTAACCCCTTCAAGTTTTTAATATGCTTCATCCCACCATATTCTCGCATTGTGCCAAAGCTTTCTTTCAAGTATGCCTCGTCGTGGTGGTTTAGTGGCTAAGGTACTCGGCTGCTGACCCGCAGGTCATGGGATTGAGTCCCGGATGCAGCTGTTGCGTTTTTGATAGAGGCAAGAATGCTGTAAGCCCGTGTGCTCAGATTTGGGTGCAGGTTAATGAACCCCAAGTGGTAGAAATTTCCGGGACCCTCCACTACGGCGTCTCTCATAATCATATGGTGGTTTTGGACGTTAAATCGCACATATTAATCAAAATCAATCCTTTCAGATCGTAACTATATATATTTTTTTTACTCGAGAAAACGCTGGTTCTAACATAAAGCTGATAGATGTGGCAGTGGGAGGAGGGGGGATCAATTAATACTGTTTTGGAACTGAAATTCGGGCAGGAACTCCAAAACATCAAATGCTTCCAAACAGTTTTAGCATCCAAAATTTGAGATTTTCTTCTATATCGACATCTACAAGGCAGATTTAGAACTCCAGACTTGAAGGGAGCCCACTCATCAGTTGCGCATCCACAGAAGTTGAAAAAAGAGGAGAGGCTAAAGAAAGATTATCTTTGCCTTTTACATGTAAAGTGTTGTTGGCAATATTTCAGCTGTGCCAAATTTTGTTCATCAACACAATTTGGCCTCTGCATTGCCTCATTCTTAATAAGACAACTAGGAAACACCACTCCACCGGCACTTCATCAACCTAGCCAGAAGAAACACTTTCATGCTTCTATCTTAAGAGTATGCTTAGGAATCCTCTGAAACTTTTTTTTTGCAATTTTATTTTGAAATGTTAGACAAATAACCTAGAAATGTTCATGAAATATTTGATTCGCTTCACACTCAAAATTTGCTATTGGCACTGCTCAACTTGTTTTACGTTGTGCTGAAAGTCTTTCATGTAGCTTTTCAATATGTTTTACCTAATGGAACGTGCTAACACTCATGCAGACATTTTTTTGGGCCACATTCTCTTACACCAGTGTTTCGTTGGGATGCGCGAGATTGGATTCAGAAGAGTTAGCTGCGTGCCTCGTCTCATATAGCATTAGAATTCGCTGCTATCAGATTCATTGCTTCACCCTTTGCAGTGAAACTGTGACCTTTTTTTATGTGACAGTGATAGTGGAGCCAAGTGGAAGCTGTGGAAATTGTGAAACATATTAACCCTTTCATTGGCGGGTGTATTTTTTTTGGCAGATTTTTTTGTTTTTTCCAACTGTTACACTGATATTATCTTTTAGTGGTGCAGTTGGGTGGTGTTAAGGACATAGAAATATTTTTATGGGCAATTCTATTATAAAAATGAGAGTAGTACTAATTAAAAGCTATAAATTCTTGACATAAATATTTGTAATGAATAATAAATGAATAATTAGCCATTACTTACAGCGTTAGAAGCACTAACTATCCATATGAAAAGTTCAAATTGGTCAAGAGCCTCTGAACTTCTGTCTAAAAGGGCGGGTGCATGGCACTAGCTCTCTGTATCTGTGCTGCTGAAACTCTGGCAAAGAGATGCAAGCTGAGGCTGATGTGCAAACACGGTGTCCTAGAAAGCTCCCACTCTCCATAGACACACCTGCATTATTGCTTTGTACAACACTCATCTCTCGTGTGTCGGGGAGTGACTTGAAAAGGCAAACTGGCAGAAGAGGTTACAATGGTGATGGGCCGTTGGTGCCAGATTGCCGGAGTAATAATCATTGAGGGTTGCTGGTCCAGGTTGATTGTGTGACCTCTGTCTCACTGGGGTGACTTCAGCCTCAGAAAGCTGGTAGTTTTCTTGCGTGTAGCTGCTAAAGTTCAGAGAATATTTGTGTATAAGTTCTTCTGAAAAACGAGTTTATGCAGTGTCAGGCATTTTAAGGAACTGAGTGCTGCAGTGAGTGCACCGATGTTGTTTTTGGCTGCGTATAATTACATGGCTGGGGGCGGGAGAGATGCTTAATGGCCTAGCATTTTTCGTGTGGATTGTTCTCACTTCAGGTCACAGATGTGGACTTTTCACATTGATTTTATATCTGTATGATTCCCAAAGCTCGACTACAAAATGACAGCTGAGATTTATTCATTGTATTGTTGTTGCAACAGTTGAAATGCATCCGCTAAACCATGCTCTCAGATGCAAGTGCGCAGTTTAGATACCCGTTGAATGTCTTGATTTTTGTTTGTTACAGATGTACCTCGTACATTTCCTGACAATGTGTATTTCCAAGGGGGTGGACAGCAGCAGAAGTCACTCTTCAACATTCTGGTCGCATACGCACACTTCAATCAGGGCGTCGGCTACTGCCAGGTACGACAGAAAGTTAACTGAAGTAAGAGGTTATAGTGTCTGTCGGCACGAGTGGATTACAGCCTTAATGGGTGATATTTAGTACAGGTGCTGACCTGGTTGTCCACCTAAAAATTTTTGCTCCTGATGTTTACTGTATTTACTCACGTAATGAACCCACTCATTTTTTTTTCAGAAATGTTGACATTAATTTGGGGGGAGGGTTCATTACGTGGGAAAGAAGAATTGCGGGAGTTATAAGAGCAGAAGTTTTGCTTTGCAGTATCAAAAAACTCTCTCTGAAACCATTTCTGGCCATGAAGTCAGTGACAGGAATGCCTGTTCTGGAGCCTTTTTGCGTATTTCAGAACTTCGCTCTTCATTGGGGGAAAATTTTCTTGTTCTGGTCCACAAAATGTACGATGGACCTCTTTTTCTTTTTTTGTAGTTTGAAGCTTTTTCTCTTGCTTTATTCAATAACGAATGTGCACAGATTGTCGCTGAAGTGTCCATCCAGTCACTCGGTTTCCAGCGCATGTTCGACCAGCTGTTTGACCAAGTTTAAAGCCGGCCATGTAGCTAGTGCACCAGCCCAACGTGCCCTATGCAGCAGGCGTTTAACAAAGTTCGCTGCGAGAACCCAACAAACAAATGCAGTGCTCGGTTGGCCGCGCAATTGGTTACGAGTTCATGTTGCACTGCCAGCGCAGGTTGCGCCTTTGCACTTTGTTTTTATGCCAGTGTTCTTGGGTTTCTTCTGCATTCGACAGATGGTGCTCCGCCGCAAAAGCCACGACTTTCAAATTTTGACCCACATCTTCTGCGCTTGAGCTGCTCACAGCTGTTTAGCATGGTTGTTGAACTATGTTTTAACATCATTATTTTGTGATATAATGGTGTCACCTAATATTGCTTCGATTATCAAGGGCTCTGGGTATCATTATGAAATGAACAGACACATACATTAAAATATAGATTTTTTGTCAATGACTAGTGTGGGGTGCGAGTTCATTATGTGAGTGGGTTCATTACGCTAGTAAATATTGTGCCAGACAAAAAAATTGTGCCATTTGTGTGCAGTTTTCGTGTATGTTTTTGTTGACAGCTGCAGTTGTAATGTCTAAAATACATGATGAGGCATCTTTGCTCTCACTTTTATGTTAATGCCGCTTTTGTAGTAGGGGAGGTTGATAATCTGGAGATGTGTGTGTAGTTTAGTTAGTTGTGAAAAAAATGACTTCACAAAAGTATATGGGCAGTGTTGATAATGAAAGGCGATGAAGGTCTTGTTTGGCACCAGTCATCCAATTAGGTCAGGATGTGACCAAAGCAGTCATCAAGTTGAATGACATAGAGAGTGAGTGACATCTATGCATGCAAAGATTTCATGAAGGAAATGAACACTAAGGCCAAGCTCCATGTAAGAACTGAAGAACTAGAGGGAAGGCTTTATGGCAGTACAGAGGCCCGTGGGAGCAGTATTGCTGCAGATTCGCAAGTTTTTCGGGTGAGGTGATTCCATCCTGTGCAAAGAGATGATAATAATAATAATTGATGGGGTTTAAAGTCCCAAAATCACCATATGATTAGGGGAGACGTAGTCAAGGGCTCCGGGAATTTCGACCACCTTAAGTTTTAACGTGCATCTTAATCTAAGCACACAGGCCTTAAGCACTTTAGCCCCTATCGGAAATGCAGCCGCTGCGATCGGGATTAGATCTCGTGACCTGTGGGAACAGCAGCTGTGCAAACAGAAGGGACGTGATTATGCAATCAGAGGTTTTGAACTTAAAGGCATGCTAGAAAAAAAGCGTATTTCAATGTTCTTTGACCTGATACTTTATTGAGGGCTTGGCAGACATGAACAGCTAAACTGTGATGGTCGTTGAAGAATATATTAGTCCTCTACAAGTTGCTGATTACTTGATGTCATTAAAAGTCAGTTTTTAAAACCACTACATAGTGTTTTTAGGGACTTTCCTTTCATTTTGGATGTCTTACCTTGGTGATAGTATTGTGTATTTCAGACATTACAACTGCAGGTGTCAACAAAAACATACACGAAAACTGCACACAAATGGCACAATTTTTTTTGTCTGGCACAATACAAATCACCAAGCTTCTCACAAATGACACTTGCAGAGCACTGTTTCCTGATTGGCTTACCCTCAGTTTATGACCACATGTTAGTGTGAGAGCGAAAACTTAGAACAGCACAAAGGTGAGCTAGTTAGTGAGAATTCAGTGAGAAAGAATAAATGAAATGCCTGAATAGTTATCTTTCGTGTAGATCCACACAAGTGCAGGATTGACAGGCAGCGATGCGTGCCTGTGCATACACAAAGAAGTTTTCCTGTCTACTTTCTTTTTCCGGCGCAGTGCACTTTTTCAGTCGTCGGTCGATGCGTTTGTCATTCAGATCTCTTTGCTCGTGTCCATGCCCCGCCATGGTGATCTAGTGGATAAGGTACTTGGCTGCTGACCCGCAGGTCGCAGGATCGAATCGCGGCTGCGGCGGCTGCATTTCCGATGGAGGCGGGGAAATGCAACCGATGCTTAATGGCCGTGCATTTTTCGTGTAAATTGTTCTCACTTCAGGTCACAGATGTGGATTTTTCACATTGATTTTTTATCTGTATGATTCCCAAAGCTCGACTACAAAATGGCATTTATACATTTTGTACATTCAAAAACCGCAACGAGGTGATTTGACCATCTGCAAAGGCTTTTTTTTTTTGGGGGGGGGAAAATTCAGCATTCAAAGCTTCAAGGATGTAGACTCATCTGCCGTTCTTCTTCAAGCTTTATAAGTCCTAGTTTGAAAAATGTAGCTGTGTGACATGGCCAGCCAGTGCATCAGAGGAGCTGCTGTGGCGGTGTTATGCAGGGTCTGAACTTCATAGCGGGTTTGTTGCTGCTGGCAACAGAGGACGAGGAGTCCAGCTTCTGGCTCCTGCGTGCCCTGCTTGAGCGGCTGCTGCCCGACTACTATGGCCGGCACATGACTGGCCTTCTCACAGACATCGAGGTGCTCGCTGAGCTAATCAGGCAAGCTCCTCTTCCTCTCTGTTCCATGACACTTGTTGGGATGATAAAAAGAACACTTCGAACATGCGACAAATCCTGTAACTTCGCTCGTTTTTGATAAATTTGAGAAATCTTTGCGGCAGTCTATTTGGGAAGCAATACTGTTGGTGTGGTAAGTCGATGAGGCCAATGTGTGTGATATTAAAGGACCCTGGCAGTGGAATCATTTTTTGGGGTTTTTGTGCTGTAATTTGTAACCTTGCATTCGATTACCCTGAAAATGAGTCACAAAAGCTCTGATGTGTCAGTATAAATAATACTAGCATAGTTTTGGCATCACTTTCAAAATTTTTTTTCCCTTAAATCATGAAGAACTAGTACCCGAAAGTGGAGGAGTGCCTTAAGATCACATGTGCCCGAGCTTTGGTGACGTTGAAAGCACAGTTTTTTAATGTGGTGCCCGCTGACATTATATTATTTGTTAGTATGAGTGTGGCTATGAGTTAAGCCTGCTTAACTAAGATTGTGTGAATATTCGAGCACTTCGAATGTTCGAATCTATAGTAAATAATTTGAATTTGCTTTCATTTAAATTATCAGAAATTCGGAAGGATTCGAAATGAACGAATTGGTGTATGCAAGTCCACTTGTAACCCCCTCCTCTTGTGAAGGTGGTTTCACTGCAGTGGAGGGATGCTTTACCATGAGTACATCCTTTAAAAAAAAATGCACCCTGCTGCAAAGCTTTACTTTAAGGTTAAGTGAACCTTGGTTAAGTAAAACTCCAGCACTGTACAATTCTGACAAAAAGGCATTGCAGGGCTCCTTTAAGCGTGGTTTTGCTGGTAATGCGTCACTCACTGGCTTACAGCACAAAAACAGAAAAGATGTTTAAAAACACAAATGTTGTACTCAGCGCTTGTCTTGCATGTTCATTCTACAGAGGTTGTACAATAAAAGTCGGGAAAAGTTTTAGAAGAAAAGATTTATTAGAGACATTGATACAATGCCTCAGGTGTCTTCAAGTATGTCCTGTGAATGTAGACACACTTTTGTCAGTGGCTTTTCCACCACCCGAAGGCTTCCGGATAGGCGATTTCCCAGAAGGTTCTTAATATACGTCTTAATGTTTCATCTGCAAAAACAAATTTTCTCCTACATCTCCTATTGCAATTAGCACAGTGTTAAGAGGAGATGCGGGTCGAAAAACGCGAGTATTTTTCAAAATTACCGATTTTTTATTTTCGCCTGTTTTGACAAAATTAGTACCTCTATTGTTATGAAAAAAATAATACAGGTTGAGACTTAACTGGAAATGCTTTAAAATTTCATCTAAAGAGCACAAGGTGCCAGTTAAAAGGTCGAAAGTGTGCATTCTTCGAGCACCTTGCCGCCGATAATGCGCCGCCGCTAGCCATTGTTGATCGCATGAGTCGAAGAGTCGAGCCTCACTCTTCAAATAACAAGTTTCTCTCCCTGATGCAGTGCAAGAAATAATAAAAAGAATCACTCTTCTGTGCGTTTTTCGAGTGCCGCGACTGGCTTATCACATGGTACGAATCGGAGACCGCCATTGGCCGCTGCGCGCGTGTATGTGCTGTGAAACCTATTTGTGGGGTCGATGTCTTGTCGAGAAGCCCAGCTGAACAATGCTTTTCTCGTGTAATTATCTCCATTATGAATTAAAAGAGGCATTGCTCGCAAGTGAAAGCCGTTGTGCAGCGCACTCTGTAGGGATAGGCTACGAGCAGCTGGTCCGATTTGCGGCAGTTGTTGGCTTGCAAAAACCAATGCATCAAAGTCATTCACACCCATCAGCCGTAAAGTTCGTAATGCGGCAATGGATGACGTCAGCGCCAATCTTGAGAGGTCGAAAGAGCTCGCAGTGAGAGAACTTAGCAGGGACGACATTGCCATTATGTACGACGGTATGTGGTACAAACATGGCTGCAAAATGGCATGACACTGGAATTAGTTTGGATTTTGCAGTCCTGCCGAACTTCTTCCTAGCTTGCAGTTGGCACAAGGCTCTGCCAGATGGAGCGGAAGTTTGGCAAGCATTTCATGGCCCTGTTTGTGAGTGAAATGTCCGTGAGGAATCGGCTCGAAAACGCCGAGAGGGACAAACTCATGGTGCTGGCGTATTTTAGTCGCAGTGGCCACTACGAGAAGGATTGTTCTTTTTGGTGTGCAAATTTCGTCTGATTTAATAATATCTTTCATAAATAAAAACTCTATTTTAACTTTAAAACTCATTTTTCTCAAAACACAAATTTTCAATGTGCCCCTCCATTTTTGGGCATTTCTAGTGCTCGGATCTGCATGAAATTTTGCCCAAATGTTCTCCAAAGTATGAAAAATGCAATTATCTAGTTTAAATCTCAATATTTTATTGTATAATAAAAAATTGTATGGATACCTTTACTAGGGTAGGTGAAATATGGACTTTCTACGTCTATTATTTTTCACGCATATTACATATTGTTACGGCAATATTTTGTATATGCTTCCTAATTAGTTATTTGCACTCTAGACTTTATTTGAAGCATTATGAACTATGAATGGTAAAAAATCACAGAATTTTAGGGATGAAGAGAGGGGGGGGCAAAAGGGTTAAGGTTTTCACGGTTTTCACTTTGTCATGTTTCAGAGCTAAAAGTGTGTAACTTGCAAGAAACCTAATTATATATTTGAAATCAACATAAAAAGTTCAATAAACAGCTCAAGTTTCATTGCTCTAGGGTGAATATTAAAGAAAAAGTGTCTTCGAGTAGCATCTCCCCTTAAGTCACTCATATCTTACCCAAGGGCTCGTAATCTTGAGAAAAATTATTTTATCACACTTTCGAATGGCTTATGTAATGTTAAAACGGTGTTGAATTTCGGTCAATTTTTTATGATAGCTTCTGAATTTTTCTCTTCTTGAGATAGATAGAACCTACCAATTCAAATACTGGATAATTTTCTCTTTTTTTCTGGTTTTTCAGATAGGCGACGTTTAGCTTCCAGTCATCTCACATTTTTGTAAAGTTGAGTAATTACTTGCCTGACAAATGCATCGAAACAATCCCCTGTGAAATTGTCCCAGTCATCCTTCAGCACAATTGGGAATATTGATGGGTGGAAATTTTAGTATTATTTTATTTTTCTATATACTATACCTCTTGACATGTTCAGGAACAGCATCTATGCTCGTCAATTTTGGCAACACCAAGAACAGTCAAATGGATTAAAAAAATGAAGAAAATGATTGATTCATATGCTCAAGTAAGCATTACAGGAACAAACCATAGTGCTGTGAAGGCTCATAAAATGCGCAATCTCTAGTAGTGTTCTCTTTCTTAAACGAGGTATGCACAACCTCCTTTTGACAACTTGAGAAGCGATACACTGTTCCACTTGCTGTGGCTGTTTCATCCCAAATACTCATTGATGCAATTGGGAGATGGTGCATTCACGACACAGTGGAGCAATGTTTTTCCACTTTTGAAACATGACTCCGTGATACGTATATGTCCCGCTTTTTTTCAGCAATCTACTGGGCAAATGATGGTGAAATTTTTTTCATACTATTTCTTTTTAGTTTATATCAATATACCACGGCTGGTTTTTACATCGCCGTGTAAAAGTATAGGTGAACCCACAAAAGGTTAAAGTACTTGCTTCTTTAACAGCATTGGAAGGTCCCTTGATGGGGTCCTCTATGGAAAGATTTCACTTTTGGAAATAAGTAATAGTTGGCTGGTACCTAGTCTTGTATGTAAAGGGGTTGGGGAATCACCATAATGTCATTCATCGTCAGTGTATCATCAGCGTATCGTCACAATTTAGCCTGTACAACTACTGCTTGGCACGTATTGAATGAAGGACACATCCCCCATAAGAGTGCAGGCATAGTGCGAGTGTTTTTCAAATTTTACCAACAGTTTCTGCGCATCCTGTAATACAAAAGGGTTCCATGCTGGGCTTCATCAAGATTTACCTTACACTATTTCTGTCACATAATTGATGTCATTAGTGAAGGAGCACACTAGGTGTTATAGCATCTGCATACGATGCATCTTGATTCACCTTTAGTGTCCACTTCGCTTCCCTTTGTGGCCTACCTAAGGAACACCTATTTCATGAGTTGCACAATATGGTGGACATTGTACACTGCTACCCAGTGTGCATGGAAGAAGCCCTAGAATATACGATGCATCGTGTGCAACTTTGCTCTGGATGAAGGATGAATATCTGAACAAGTTATTGCGGTGTGTAGATTACATTAGGCACACTGCCATTTGTTTTGTTTTTTTCTCAATAGGCACTGGAAATTTGTGCTTGAGAAAAGGATAAAAATTATTTTGTTTTCTGTTCTGTGTGGTCACCTTCCGAAGGGACTGATTAATATTGCTGTGCAAAATCTTTTGTTTTGTAAATGCATTGCTATGTCATGGATTATGAGGACTGTGTACAAAATTTAAACGAGAGAAAGAGGAACACAACTTCCTTGCGATGACTTACTGAGCCCTGCCCTTGCATGGAACGTAGAGAGCGGATCCCTCAGGTGCATGCCCACCTGGCCAAGCACGAGGTGTCCTGGGCGATCATGACCACCAAGTGGTTTGTCTGCCTCTTCGCCGAAGTGCTGCCGATTGAGGTGGGTGCAGCAGCAGTAGCGCTTGAAGAAGCGATGCCTTTTGTATGATGTAGCAAGCATATTCTTTTAAATATGTCAAATCGGAGGACATTAAAGGATGTCTGTGATATCAACTGTTCCTTATGAGCGTATATTGGCTCGATGCTAATATTTCACTGAATTTGCATATCTGTATACATGTTTATATTTAGATGTAATGTGGGCCTCTAGTAAAAGGCCTTAAGGCAGGAGTGGGTCACATGTGAGGAATTTGAGTGCAGCAGTAGTAGTAAAAGTAGTAGCTGTGGTAAAACATGGCATCCATTTCAGAAACACAAAAAGCACTAGTACCACTACAATAGGGGCTAGCATACTACTAGACATAAAATATGAGGATAAAAAAGAAATACAATGCACACTTGCCTATGGTATGTCGTTGACTAATGTTCTGTACCTTGCTGGTACCGCAAAGTATGTAGTTGAAAAAATTGAACAGTCCAAAAAGGTTGCTGAGACATCAAGACGAAGTTTCTTGAATTCTTGGAATTAGAGCAGCCTAAAAAACATTTCCAGTAATGCCTTTTGTCATGCTTGGCTTGGGGCGAAGCAGCTTTGGTTGCATTTGAGCTACAGTGACATCATCAGTACCTTGGCGATTGCCGACCGTTGGGGGCGATACACCCCAGGGCACGGAGTTAACCAAATTTGCACGCCTGAAGGAAGCTCCTGTTTCTTTCCTTCTCATCTCTACATCGCTCTTTCGCTTTCTCGATTTTTTTTCTTTTCCTTTGCTACTCTCCTTTTCATTGTTTCTTCGTTCTTTCTTTTTCTGCCTTTCTTTGTATTTTTATGCCTCGTTACTGGGTTACTGCGGGAAGCCGCAACGTATCGTGGGCACATGCACAATCACACCGAAAAGCCGCGAATTGTAAGAAAGAAAAAAAAAAGAGAGAGAAAAAGTGTTCAAGGTTACAAAGCGTGCCTGATGTACCTTCTTTCTCCATGCCATCCCTCCCTGCTTATCTTCCAGTGCTTTTGTTGGGATGAGAGAAGAGAGAAAGCATTTTCAGCTGTGTGACAGATCTTTGCAACTCTGCCTGTACTTGAGGGATTCTAAAAATTTTTTGTAGCGGTTGATTCGTGAGGCAGTAAGCTCCTTTCCAGAAGCCATTCCATGGCTACTTGGAAAAGTGTTGTAGGACCCTTTTGACTGTATTTGATTACATATTGGGGTCTGTCTGCCTCCCGCAGTTAAAATGGTCTTTATGATAAGTCCCCAGGGCTTTTTTAATGCTACTGCAATGTTTCATAGTCCACCCAGCAAAGTGATTTAGTGGCCGTGTCATTCTGCTGCAAACTGCAATTTCACCAACTTTGTCATCGTATGCAGCATTCGTGTTGCAGCAAGGGTTAAAAATCACCTGTATACTGAGCAAGTTGGAAATGCACTCACTCAGACTGAAGGGTGCAAAAAAAAAAGAAAGAAGAACAAAGAAGAAACAAAAACAAAGAAACGGATGACATGACCAGAATCTAACAACTGAATTTAGTAGTGACTGAAAAGCGAAAGTATGTGAGCACAGCATCTATGCACATCCTAAAGACTCTTGGCTGGGTAGACTACTATTTTGGATTCATATGGTGACACAGAAGGCCTCGCAACACACGTTTCAAACTGACCCATGAGTGTAAAACACTTTGGTAATCTCCCGAGTAGTGCCCCGCCACGGTGGCCATGTGGCTAAGGTACTCGGCTGCTGACTCGCAGGTCGCGGGATCGAATGTTGGCTGCGGCGGCTGCATTTCTGATGTAGGCGGAAATGCTGCAGGCCCGTGTGCTCAGATTTGGGTGCACGTTCAAAAACCCCAGGTGGTCTAAATTTCTGGAAGCCCTCCTCTGCCGCATCTCTCATAATGATATGGTGGTTTTCGGATGTTAAATTCCACATATCAATCTCCCGAATAGTGTTATCCTGATACTCCAATAATACTTTGGCGTAGGGCAGCAGTATTTCTTGCATGCGCAGTCTGTGCCATACAATGAAGTACAAGATGAGGGCTTTCCTTTTAACGAAGCCCCATGATCCATGTGAGATTGCGCCCACAGTCTGTTGTCCACTCCTTCTCGTCCTTTGTTTTTCGTGCCTTATAGTTTGAGCAGTAAAGGTGAAGGTCATATATGTTGGACATTTAAAGAATCAAAATTAAAATTCAGAATTGAAATTATTTGACATTCTTGTAACTTCCTCATTTTTTATCTTCAGTGGTTGACTTGATTGACAAATTTTCCCGTGAATGACACTCTTCTGGCAAGCTTTTGAAGTCTAAATGTGAAATACAGCCAATGTTGTGACTGTGCAGACAGTGCTGAGGATATGGGACAGCCTCTTTCTGGAAGGGTCCAAGGTGCTCTTCCGGGTGGCCATCACTCTGGTCGCCCAGGCCCAGGAGAAGATCTTGGCCGCACGCGGCCTGGGTGAAATTATGGCCGCCTTCAAAGAAGCTGCCTCGGGGCCTCAAGTCACCGACTGCCATGCTTTCCTCAAGGTCAGGGTTCATGTTATCCACATCCTCTTGGGTCTTCGTCACAACCATTTTAAGAAGTTTTTGCATGACCTTTTCAGCTTTCATTCGTTTTTTGTCTTATGTTATAACCGGCCCCCGCGGCTGAGCCGCGCCCCGAAATGCACGAACAGAGTGGCCAGGGCAAAAAGCGAGCGTTTATTGTCTGGCTTGGGTTTTTATAAGAACGAAAGGTAAGGGAAGGGGAAGAGGGAGATAAGATAGAAAGCGCGCGTAGCGTAGACTGGCAGCGCTTGTTTAGTGGTGGCGAACAGTTCATGGCATTCCTTCTTCCTTAGAATCCATAACGCTCCACAGGCTTCTTGATACGTGTGGAACGTCTTAGCTCTGGGGGCGGGTGGCCCGGAAGACCGGGGCCAGTAGCCGTTGGAGCTTCGCAGTCTTGTACTGGAGGGTCAGGGCTTATCTGGGGACTAGTGAGAGCCTCTGGACTCGACGGTTCTTCGATGCTTCTCCGCCTGAGCTGGTCCATGTGCCGGTGAACAAGCCCGTTCTCCGTGTCGACAGACACGATGCGTGCACCAGAGGTTGACCGGACCTTCCCAGGTGTCCACTTGTCACCACGGCCGTAATTGCGAAGGTTCCAGGATCTCCCGGTGCGAAGTTCCACTCGGCGCTGTTAGCAGAGTGGACATCCCCTGTTGCTCGGCTCCTGGGAGGAAAACACATGTCTAATCGGGTGCGGAGCTGGTAACCCAACAACATTTCTGATGGTGAGCGCCCGGACGGAAGCGGCGTGTTTCTATAGCGGCACAATGTTCTAGCCAGCGCCCTTGACAAGTCTGCGTCCCCACACTTCTTTAGTCCGTCTTTGATGGTTCGCACCGCACGTTCGGCGAGTCCATTACTCTGTGGATGGTACGGGGGTGCCTGCACGTGAACTACCCCGTTCTGTTGCAAGAACTCCTTGAACTCCCACCCGGTGAATGGCGTGCCATTATCAGACACTACCGTGTGTGGCAGACCGAATCTACTGAATAGCGTTCGCAGGGCATCGACTGTGTTGCGCGAGGTTGCGTGAGCCAGGGGAATGGCCTCAATCCATTTACTGTGAGAGTCCACGACGACAAGAAGCATCTTGTTTTGGATCGGACCCGCGAAGTCGACATGCAATCGCGACCATCTTTCCTGCGTCTCTGGCCCGCGAATGGGTGCTTGCGCAGGTGGCATGGGCAACGCCTGTACGCAGTGCTGACACACAGCGGCTAAGCGCTCAATATCGTGGTCCAAGCCAGGCCACCAAAATTTTGACCGTGCAACTGCCTTCATTGCAGAAACTCCTTGATGAGCTCCATGTAATAACTTCAGTAGCTTCTTCCTGGCTTCCGTCGGAACCACAACACGATGACCCCAGTGAAGCAAGTTATGCTGCACGGACAGCTCGTTCCGCCTTTGTGATACTCCCGCATCTCTGTGCCTTTCTCCGCAGTGCGTTGTGGCCAACCTTGGATGACGTATCTGCACACACTTGACAGTACGCCGTCTGACTGCGTGAGGGCTTGAAGCTCTTTCATGGGCACCGCCGGCTCGTCCCACTGGTCCACGACGAGGACGTACTCAGCCGCATCCTCGTCGTCCTGCAGCTCCTGTTCAAGAGATTGGGGTAACCGGCTTAATGCATCCGCGTTGAGCATAAATTTTCCCGGCTTGTACTGCAGTTTATACTTGTATGCACCAAGTAGCAGCGCCCATCTTTGTATTCGGGCTGCCGCCATGACGGGGGTCTGACGGTCGTGCCTTAACAGGCCCAGCAACGGCTGGTGATCCGTAACCAGAGTGAACTCTCGGCCCAACAGGTAGTCCCTAAACTTAGTAACACCAAATATGAAGGCTAACGTCTCGCGCTCGATCTGAGAGTACTTTCTTTCGGCAGTTGTCAGCGTTCTCGATCGAAAGCCTATGGGTCGCTTCTCGCCTTCGGTGTGATGAAAAAGTGCAGCACCAACTCCGTATGGGGATGCATCACACTCTAAGAAGAGCTCACAATTCGGATCAAAATGAGTGAGTATGGGTGCCGCGCACAACGCATTTTTCACCTGGACAAAGGCTTTCTTTTCGTTGGTGCTCCACGTCCACTTAGCGCCCTTTTTCAGCAGTTTGTACAACGGTGCTAGAATGGTAGACAAGTCGGGCATAAACTTGTTATAAAAGGTTACTATGCCCAGAAATGAGCGTAGCTCGCAGACATTCTGTGGAGAGGGGGCTAGCCTAATAGCATCCACGTTCTTTTCCATGGGATGCAGTCCGTTCGCGTCAATACAGTGACCTAGATATGTGACAGAGGGCTCGCTAACGCGGCACTTATCAGCACGAAGCTTAATGCCATGTTCACGGAAGCGCTCGAGCACAGCCATCAGATTGCGGTTTTCGCTGTCACCCTCTTCCGCTATCAACACGTCATCTAGGTACGCTTGCACCCCAGGCAAGCCCTGTAGGATTGATTCAATCCGTCTTTGAAATATCGCTGGTGCCGAAGCAACCCCAAACGGGAGGCGGTTGAAGCAAAAGAGGCCCTTGTGGGTGTTTATCACGGCCAATTTGCGAGACTCTTCGTCTAGCGGGATCTGGTTGTAGGCGTCGCGCAAATCCAAAATGCTGAACCGCTCCCCCCCACCTAATTGCGCAAAAATATCCTCGATAAGAGGCAGCGGGTATTGTTCTAGCTCGCATACTAAGTTCAAAGTAACCTTGAAGTCACCGCAAATGCGAACTGTGCCGTCTTTCTTTAAGACTGGAACAATGGGCGTAGCCCATTCCGAGTGCGTCACTGGTGATATAATGCCAGCTGCCACGAGTCGATCTAATGCCTCTGAAACTTTATCCAACAGAGCGTAGGGTACCTTTCTTGCCTTGAAGAACTTTGGCGTCACTCCAGGCTTGATGTGAAGGCGCACCGGTGGGCCTTTCATGAGTCCTACGCCCTCCGTGCACAGGTCGGAGTAGCGGTTCAACACAGCAGGCGCGGGCGGAGACTCCGGGCTCGCCCCGAGTGGTGGCGCAGCTACGTGGAGTACTGCTGCGCCTGCTCTTGTAGTTTCCGCAGCAAATCACGACCGCACAGGAGAGGACCTTCGCAGTCCAAGACGATTAGGTTGCAATCAACCTCCGCCGATTTGTGGCATACACGCATTGACAGTACTCCGAGTACGGGTAGCTTCCCCAAATAGCACGCCAGCTTTATCTTCGGCTCCTGCAACTTCGGCCATTGATGACGGTGGGCTTTGTAGGTTGCTCTAGGAATGACGCATACGGGCGAGCCGGTATCCACGTCCATCTTCAGCTTTACGCCGTTCCACGTGAACGTTTCCTGAATCGGTGGCACCAATGAATTCTTCGATGTTACGGACCAAAGTTGCGACGCACTGCTATCACTATCGGTGGCTTGGGCTGTTACATTCAACGCATTGTCGATCCTTTGGCACATGCGTGCCAAGCGCCCTTGTTTTCCACATTTGTAACAGTGCCTCCCACGCATTGAACAGGTCGCGCGCTTATGATTACGCTTTCCGCAGCACTCGCATGGCTTTCCGTCTTCGTTTTTATTCTGGCCTCGCGGCACCCAGCGTTGCTCTTTCATTGCCGACACTGTTACCGCGGGTGTTTCTCGATTTATGTTCTCCGCATCTAACTCTGCCCTTTATGCCGCCAACGCAAGTGCCTCTGCTTCTTGTAATGTCAACTCAGGTTTCGCGAGCAGCTGCTTTTGCAAATTTCTTGAACGTACCCCGCACACGATACGGTCTCTTAAGGGGGGACACGGCTTTGGGATCGCGAAAAATGGCAAAAAAATTGATTTTTTGAAACTCAAGTTTTCAGTTTCTGGAACCCTTTTTCTATCTGGTTCCAAAATATCTACACTGAAAACCGCGCAGAAGTGCTTCGGAAAATTCGTTTCACCCACCTAGGTAGCAAAAATATTTCTGGAAATGGCGAGAAAACGGCGATTTTCAAAAAATAATAGCTTCGCTATGCTTGGGCCGGGAGCCGGCTTCTTGGGCTCATCGGAAAGAGCATTTTTCCGTGTTTAACTTTCCCGCCTCAGCTGGCTCCTCCCTTTAACAACAAGCGAGCAAAAAGCAAATGTTTGAAGGTCGTTTTGAGGCCCTTGATTGGCCGTGGCCGCCATGTTGCCTCAGCTCGCCTCGCCATTGGCTCGATGCTGCTCCGGGAGATCGTCGTCTGCTGCTTGTGCGTCGCGAGGACATGGCTCTCGAAAATCGCCACTTCGTGACGTGTTCACGGCTTGATAATCACTTAAGATATAACTACGCTTTAGTTACGAGCAGTAAGCGGATGCGCGATCAGGTTATTACGAGCGTCAGCGCGGTCTACGAGCGCCGCGCGTCATTGAAGTCGTCTTTAGCCCCAACTCCGCCGACTGCGGGCAGGAACGACCCGCTAGCGCATTCGTGGCGACGTGTTTCTTCGCAAGCAACGAAGCTGTAAGCGGCGGCACGATCTGATTACTACAAGTGGCCGCACCGGATGCACGATCAGATTACTACGAGTGCGGCGCGTCATCGGAGTGGGCTTTAGGCCTAACTCCGCCGACAGCGAGACTGCGGGCAGGAACGACGCGCAAGCGCACTCTTGATGACGTGCTTCTTCGCAAGGAATGTACCACATCACTCGCTAGCTCCTCCGAATATTGTACGGGCATTTTACGCATCGGCAGCGGACAACACAGTCAATCTCGTCATCCCCCCCCCCCCCCCCCCCTTCACTGCCAAGGATCGCTCGGAACAGCGGCTAGCAGTTTCGCGCGTCGTCATTCGAAAATGCGATGCCAAGTGCAGTGCGTGCCGATTTTTTGTCTTCGTAGTTACTCATTTCGCGGATCGTCATCGAACGCCGCCGGCAAGTGCATTACGCGCCGTCTGCACTGTCCACGCGGCCGCGCACCCCACGGTCATATGGAGTGCCGTCAGTAAGCTTTTGTGATGCGATTCAGACGTGCTTGGAGCCGTGCTTGATATCTCCACGAACGTCTATGAATGTTCCGAGGTTTATGAATTGCTGTAGATTAGAATTTCCGCGACCGGCTGTATGATGATGCGCTTCATAAAAGAGCATGTGTGAATCAGGGGCACGAATTTTTATATGCCCGTTTCGTGTCATTAATTATACTGCTAGAAATTCCCGTGCCACCAGTCTTCTGCCCACAACTTTGTTATTTGGAAAGAAGGCATAGGCCGTCATGGTGTGATCCATTTTTCTGATGCAATAAACTTCTCTCTCAAATAAAAAAAAGTTCAGTGAATATTGTAATCAAGTACTTAATTACGCTAATTACAACCAGCACAAAAAAGTATGTTTAATAATTTCAGTAATGGTTTTATTCAATTACAATCTTTTCTGTCATACTTATCACACCACTCCTTCATACATAGAACTTGGTTTGAAATTCATACTTGTTCTTTGTAACTCATGAAAAGGAGTAAATCATGAAAGAAGTCAAATATCACAGACAAACCTGAGATCACATTTTTAGGTGTCTTAAGACGTAAAGAAAAGTTGAAACTTTAAACGCAGCTTTCTCAATACTGTTTTTTTTTTTGACATTATGCTCAGCCCCTCCACATGGTTCAGTGAAGAAATATTTGTTTCTCGTAAAGTATTTGTGGTATCGCTTCAAATTTTTATGAAAGCACTGTGAGGTTATTCTTAGTGTCTGTGCCAATTTTCATCAATATCCAACGAGAAACAAAAAGTTCATTAAAAAAAAGCCTGTCGAAAACTTCGACAGGCTTTTTCTCACTAGCGTGTTTTGGACATTGGCATTGCTCGTGGAAAGAGTAGCACGAGAATGACTGGACCGATTTGATTCTGTTTTTTTCCCCTGAATCCCTGAACACTGCTTGTGGTACAGCAATCTTCAATTTCTGTTTTGTGGCCCTGTTATTTTTCTATAGACGATGATTTGTCCGTGCCATTGTTTCTGACAATGTGTGTCGGCAGCCATGATGATCTCTAAAAAAAAACGAGAACTTATTAAAAAATTCCGAGAGTGTCATACCCTGTAGCTTTCTTTTGAGTAAAGATCAACATCATTCGCAGCTTCCTGGCATGTTTTGTTGCAGCGCTAGGCTTTCCACGAGCAGACCATGTAATTGGATCTTGTAGCATTATGTAACTTGAGAACTACTGAAGCTATCATGATGAAACTGCATATTTCCCTATTCTAGACACTTATGAGTATGCATGCCAAATTTCATTGCTGTAGGTCAACAAATAAAAAAGTTTTTTTTCAAAGCCACCTCCCCCCTTAACATCCTATCCAGCACGGACGAGAAGTTCCAGTTATGCGCTAGGCGCCGTATTTCCACAATGAATGCGTGAACAGACTCTCCTTCCTGCTGGTTTCGGTGGAAAAACTTGAAGCTTTCTGAAATTTCGTTCATCGTTCATCACCGCATCGTAGCCGAGTGCGTTTGGCTTCTGCGGTGCCACTCTACCGCACAGTACATCAGTCGTTCTCGACCCAAGTGTGGCTACCAACAGGGCTCTTTTCTTGGCATCATCAGTGACTTCGTTTGCTTCAAAATAAGCCTCAACCTTCACGAGGTACGCTTGTCACTTATCTGTGTCGTCGTTGAATTCCGGGAGGCGGTGACTCAAATATATAAGTGAATCGTGTATTTGTTTTGCAATTTCACGTGCTCAGTCATCTTCTAATTTATGCTCATTAAACCTGGATTTAACAAAATTGACAAAGCCCAAAAAAAATCATTATAAAGAGGACTTCGTTATGTGCAGGTTCAGTATGAAAATTCAAAAAATGAATGGACAAATTAAACAAAAGGAGTAATGAAGGTAGAGCTAACCCAAGACACTTATTTGGTGGTAGAAAATGCATTATTATTGCGATAGCAATTTTATTGACACTCTGTGGCTTTTAGCCATCGCCGCCATGTTTCGTAACAAGCCCAAATTGATGAAATGCCCCAGTGCATAGCAACATTAAAAATGGGTAAAATCGCGTAAGCGCTGTTGAAGCAGAGACTAATGAGCCAGCCCTTCTCTATCACCTGGAGGGTGCATATGATACTCCCCCTTGCACGTTAGAACTGCTGTCAAGTGCTCAAACGTCTTGAACGAGCATGAAAAAACGCAACGGGGGGGGGGGGGCATTGCTTGAGTAGCGACGGGGAACTTTGATTTTAAGGGCGCAGTAACAAGTGCCAAGTGTCAGTGCGCTTTCAATGCGAAGTGACTGTGTGAAAAGAGCGCTTCTTCCTGGAGCGGCTATATTTGCTTACACCGTTTTGTAGGAGTTCCACCACATTGGGCCCAAAAAAGTTGGCTGCTGCTTTACTTCGTATGACATTAAAGTTTTTTGCTATCGCATTTGTTGCATTGCATTCAATGCGCTGTCATGTTGCTGCTAGAGCTAATTGTGAAGGCTACAGTCCCACAAACTTATGGCGCAAGACAGATGTGCGTGACAAATCGACCTTTGAAGATCTGTCATTGTCACATGGTGTAAGAGAGCGAGCGGCTGGGTGCCAAAAGGTGCTTGCAGTACGCAAAGAAATTCCTTCGCATTTGAAAGCTTGTGAAAATGATGAAGTGCTGCTATGTGTTGGTGGCAAATAATATTCGCAGGCAAGATTCCACTTTGAGAACGCTAACATTGATGTTATGAGAATAAGATGAATTGATGTATCAAACAGAACAGTTTTTTATTGCTTTAACGTTGTCAGTGAGGCATGCTTGATGTGGGGACCATATTGCTGATGCACACTTCAAACAGATATGCGATTTATAGGGTAGTAACTCATCACAATTTGGTGTGTGACAGCGGTTACATCTTGGAAAAAGGAGAACTCTGTCTACTGACAATAGTGATGTGGGTGTGTCATGGCATATAATCAGTCAAGGTGATGCCCAGTAATGCCTGAATGATGTCTCTGGTTCTTTATGTTTGTTGGGACTTGAGCACTGAAAAGTATTGCAACGCTTTTGGCTGATGATGGATGGAGGTTATTGTGGTCAATAATTCTGCGGGTCATTATTAACCACTAGCCACACCATTTGCCCGTTTGCTTCCGCTCATACTGGCCACAGTTTGCAATGTTGCTAGATCACTGACAACCGTTTAGTTACAATAGAGATTTCCGCATGTTCATACATTTCCACGCACCTGTGTACTTGTGTGCATACAAGTGTGTGCCTGTGTACGTATCTACGCATGCACAAGTGCACATGAAAAAAAAAAAAAAAAACTGGAGGAAATGTTCACAGTTTAGCAGTAATCACATGCTATTATGTATTTTTATCGACAACTGAATCGGCCACAGGCTATTATGTTTTTCTGCCAACTATGTGGTATTCATATTCATAAGCTTCTTGCTGTGGAAGTTTTGATACAGCACTGTTTCTGGAAGTAAGGTTTTTGAACTATTTGAAAAGTGATTTGTGTAGGACACTTGATGGAGATCATTTGGAAACTCTGGATTTAAAGCTTGCCGAGCCAATAGACCCTTTTCATAAATCGCAAGTGCGCTTCTCTGAGCTACATATTGGCTGAGGTACTGGTGGCATCTGTTATGCTTCAAGCGGAGGCACGGCCCTAGTTGGACGTGCTGGGGCTTGTCTACTCTGTGGGTTTATGTCAAGAGAGCCAACTCTACATTTTCTACATCACAGCGTAAGCAATGTATGCTTGAACAGGCTGTTTGCAGTAAGTGACCAGCCGCCATCAGTTGTTTATACTGCATAGCAGGAAATCGAACTTCACAATTTGGAAAAAAGAGTCCATTGTATATGCATAAATCAGCAGGTCTAAATTGTGTCTTGCTCAGGCTGCTTTAGTTTTCGAATAGTTGATAACATTGAGCTCACTTTTCTTGGTGAACGCAGGCCATCTTTAAGGAGCCCAAGACACTAAAACGATCGCACATTGAGCAGCTGCGCACCTCCTGTCGAGAGCGGGTTATAGCTGCACGAAGGTGACCCCCTTGCTGTTGGCCACATTGAGGACTGTTGAGGACGTGTACGAAGGGGTCGAGGCGTGCATAACCAAATCACAATCGTCAAGTTCCAGATTGTAGTCTCCGCAGCTTGTTCCTGCTGTGAAGTTGTGGTGTGCAGCCATTGCTTGCCTGGACAGCCACGTGAGCCTAGGCAGGTTGGCCACATCACTCGATTGCAGTCATTCTGACAGCACTCAGAAAACAAGTGCTACATTGTGTCGTGTCACCTAAAACTTTTGATATAGTGTTCAAGTGTTATCTTGAAAGTCTCTAGCTGCTACACGCACACATTGAAAAATGCTCCGATAGTGACAGTGTAGGCTGATGTGGGCCTACCTGCAGCTGGTTTTTTGTGCGTCAGTGTGTTGAACCAGATTGCTTGATGTCGAGGAGCATCACCACTGTGGCATTGTCCTGAGAATGCAGCTGAGATGTTTCATGAAATGAGCAGAACGCACTAAGTGGGCTGCATCACCTCCATGCTCAGTTGGTGACCTGACAGTGACACCGCGATGGCTATCTGCCCGATTCATTCGCCCATTTGGTTCCGCACGACTGGTTCATCTTCGGTGTCAGTCAGCCAGCAGTCATTTGACTGTTGTGGTCCTGGTGCTCTCTGTTCGCAACTCTCGCCACATGTTGCGCAGACCCGTTTTTTCAAGCTGGAAACCTGCCATACCAAAGAAGACTTGTAACTTGCAGGTATCGGTGTGACAGCTCTTTGATCGCCACAGGCCATAGCTATCAAAAAGCTGAATTGCACTGCAGAGAGAAGTTGATAAAAATTGCTGGTGTGTTTTCTGTTGGTGTGCTTGTTATGCTCGAAATCAGGCCCTCGTGCAGTGTCAACTGCTACCCGCTTGGACTTGCTACTGCCATCTGCATCTTATGCTTTCGACGTGCAGATGCGGCTAGCTTAGACATGTGTGACCACATGGTTCATTATCTCTGTCATTTAAGTGTCTGACTCCTGTTAGTGAGCTGAGCGAAGTTGTAGCAAAAGATGCGAAGCGCTGTAATGTATTGTTAGTTCTTGAAGCGAGCCATGCTAGGTGTTTTCTGTACTGCACCTAATTTAACCTTGCCTGGCTCTAACTTGATAAAGACGGTTTATGCACTGCAATGAATTCAGTCGGTTTCTGCTCGGGGAAAAGCTGCAGCATGTGCTTTCGGTGTTGCCAGAAGAGGCTTCCACCAAATAAAGCTGAAGATTTTCTCTTTGTGAGAGTAGCAGCAGTGCACGCAGACACACTGAAGAATGATATTGCGGCCCCCTTCTTGCCCACTCTGCCATCAGTTTCCTGAAATACTCTTCAGACTTGTCACCCTTTGATGTCTACTTTCTCCGTGCATGCGCATGACAAAGAAATGGCATTGCACATCACATGAGGACTTCTAGCACTTCCCTTCTTTTTTTTTTCCCACATTGCAATTTCTAAGCTTGTCTTTCAAGCTGAATGTTGTGATCCCAATTGTTTTACGCTGTGGGGAAATTCGCAGACATGTGCAAAGGTGGCAGCTGACATGACCGCCACGTGGACATATAGTTCTCCCATAGTTTTGACCAAAGACCTGCTCATGAAACCCTCTAGTGCGATGTTCCTCTCTGCTGACTACAGCTTTTAATGTGATCCTTGGGTATTGACCCCCCTTTCAAAGCTGTTTTGAACCGTTTGACTTTGTTATAAGCTGCATCTGTCAAAATGCCAATTTTTATGTGTTTTTGGTTCTTCACTTTGTACCTTCCACTGCCAGTCAAGACCTTTACCATAACCTTACTGTCCCATTTGCACATGCTCCATCTCCATGAGTAGGCGTCAACGCGTATTGAAATGGTTACACCACTCTCTGTCCTTGTGTGGATTTCTCATGTCACTCATTTTAAAGCACTAGGCGTACACTTTGAAGCCCGCCGCTGCCATTTTTAGTCTCTTACATATTCTTGTGCATTGGCAAGTATAGAATAGCAGGTGTCTTAGTGACCAGCGTCATATCATCGTGTTGCCACAGCTTTACAGAAAAAAAAAGAGCTGTGATAGCAAAAATAAAAAGATTTGTGGCATGTATATGTGCTTCCTGGACAAGTTGTTACACGTGGTTAGTTCATGATATGTCCGATTTCTATATCTTTGACGGTCTAAAACAAAACAAAAATTTGCGCTGATTCCGCACAATCAGCTGATGTATTAACAGCAAAAGATACAGCACAAGGGGGGTGAAAGTGTTGGTTAGAGAAGGTGGTCGAGACAGCAGAGGCATTGAACCACCCATGACTGAAGTGTCCGATGGATTCGACGGCGGCCAAGTGGTTCTCTTTTGCACTCTGCGTATTATAGATGCTATATACTTGCCAACCTTCATGATTTCATAAAACAAAAGATGTCAGCTTTAGAGCTTTTTTACTATTAGCTTCACTTGCACTTGGTCCGAGGCTAAGCCCATGAAGAAGCATTATAGCTAAAGCCACTAAGCAATTTTTTAGTGCCAAATTTCAGACACTCCTTGATTCGGCATTTGGGCATAGCCATCTGCACATTTTATGCCTGTTAGAGCACCAACGAAGTCCCGAGAAGCAACCAGTGTTGGAAGTTTTTGTGCTCGCTGCTGACAGACAAATGCATAGTAATACCTACGAGTGACACTTGAATGTTTTGCTCATTGTGGTATTTTTTTTTAAGGTGAGCTTGCATGATATTGTTGCACATGAACATTGTTGTTTCTTAAGCACAAGAACCTTTTGCCCTCCACTGCTGACAGTGCTGATGGAACATTGGCAAGTTTGATAGTTAATCTGGCCAGAACATCAGGACTATCTTCGTATGCAGGTATAAGCTCTGTTGATAATGGCAATGTTTTGGCGATCTGGCAAGTAGGGTGTTCACTATCTTGCACAATAATGATGCCAGCTTGTAGAACCAAACAAAGATGTTAGCCTCCATCACAGATATTTCATGAATACACTTCATTAACTTCATTGACGACTTGGTTTGTCTTGCTGCAACCAAGGACTCTGGTTAACTCTGCACTTAACTAGTTATTAAGAAAAAAAAGGTTCACAGACAACAGCCAACACCCGCCACTTTTTTGGGTCTAACAACTTTCGCGATGTAGGAAATTTGCCACTGGTAGGCTGGCTGTTGCAAGTCTGCTGGTAATGTCTTTATGTAAATAACGTATGCCTGATTGGGCTTGAAATTATCGGTACGGGCAGAACTGACGGCCATAGAAATGATGCTAGGGTCTTTTGAGTGTTTGGCTGGCATCTAATTTGTGCATATGCCTGGTTTGTTAGTACCCTTGGTGACCTGGCTGGGTTACTTTATTAGCGGGCAGAAAATTCTGAAATGAAAAATGCACTGTCAAGATTACATTATGTACACAATGTGACAATTTGACAACGCTATACAGTCGAAAACCGCAATAACGAAAGCCCGCGAGTACAAAAGCCCCGCGGTAACGAAATAATTCCGGACCCCCGGCGAATGTTCATAGAAGCCCATGTATTACGTATCTCGCGGCAACGAAATGTTTTTGGACAGCGATCCCGCATTAACGAATTTTCTACCACGGTGCGGGCCTTATTTCACCCTCTTGCGAAAGGTTAACTTTCGAAAATATGCTCGTATGCGTGTTATGCGCACTAAAAATTTGTAAACGTCTGCTTTTGCTGCGCTAGCGTGGGTACCGCCATTTTCGTTTACTTAAATCGGCGATGGGATCTGTGTCCGGCAACATGCCTGGCCACACAGCAGCAGGCGATGGCAAATGATCACACAGGCTTCACCACCACTTGGCAAGCATCACGCATGGATTGCGCTTCGGCCTTACCAGACGAAGATTTGGACGAAGGCGCACTTGACGGCGAGAATGGTAGCCTCTAACCTTGACCAACGCCTGGGCGAATCTTCGAGCCATTGACATCGACATTCCAGATTAACGCACCGTTGATGCGTTCGTTCACGCTGATGACGACGTAGTTGTGTATGAGAAAGTGACCGACGAGGCCATTATCGAAAGCGTGCGCGAAGCTGACGACACCGAAGACCAAGAAGAGACGCACGCAGAGAAACTCAACCCGCGGGTTGTTTTGGATGCGCTGGACACCCTTTTCTCCTTCTTCGGCGCAAATGACGACGACGTAGCAATGGACCACTTTTTCCAATGCGAAGGGAGAGCTTTGAAGTTGTTGCATGGCAAGGGTCGGCAAAGTAAGTTGACCGACTTCTGGCAATAAATTTTCGTTCTGCTGGCCGTATCACTGTTTTTATGTCTCACACTCGCGGCAACGAAATTCTCGCGAAAACGAAATTTTTCGGTTTCCCCGGCGATTTCGTTATTGCGGGTTTCGACTGTAAGTGCATTGGGACGAGTGGTAGGAAAACATGGAAGTAACCAAGTAACCCTCAGTAGCCGTGAATACCACAAAATTTGGTTATAACTTCAACATGCATGACACTGAGCAAAACATTGTGAGTGCATTTATTATAACGCTTTCATTTAAAAGGTAGCAAAATCTTTTTTTTAATTATACTGATTGGACCTTCTAATTTTCATGCATCATGTTTCACTGAAACAAACCACGTCCACGAGTCCTGACACGTGAAGTCGGTGGGTGGTTTTGAACGTCTCAAAATGCCATTGTATTGATTTCTTGATGTGCTCAGCGTGTGCACCAAAGTTGCCCGTTGCAGTAAAGGACAGTGAAGCATAGAAATGTTTTTGTGCCCAACGTATTAGACAAATAGCAGAGGGTAGTCAAGTACAAAAATGTCTACCATTATCACATGCTACTTGCTGATCTAAATCTATAGCATCAACTTATAAGCTTGAATGACTATACCATTTTGAACCAAAGTATTTTATTACAGAAGTAGTGCTCGATTTCTTTGAGCATTCAGTAACTGCGCCAAATGTGCAAGTCTAGCTGCAACAATTGTAGTTTGCCTAGTCTGCTAAAGATACGTGGTGTGTGGCATTGTACAGCCATCTTGGGCATCTACCTTTAGAAGAGTTCTGGTATGCGGTTTCAGGAATTTGTCTGTTGTGTACTGTGGTAAAATGCACGAATGGACTCTGCTAGTGTGATGTACAAGGGCTGTTATTGCCAGTTGAGGGTTAAACATTCGAATCCTCTGCAACGCTTCTGCGCCTTTTTTCACAACTTGTATTCCAGCGCTATGGTTGAGCAGATGAGTGCGTGAAATTCCCGCATACGGTAAATGAATTTGCAGCTTTCTTTTTTCCGCATTTAAAAGGCATTGCAGCACTCACACAAAAGGCAACTTTGGCCAGGAGCATCAGCATCATATTTCTGCAGTACTTCAGTTTTCGTTTGTTGGTTTGTTTGTTAGATGGGTTCTGGGGGAGGTAGGATTTCATTTTTTGCTTTGATTTGCCACTGGACTAAGTAAGTTAATAAAAGAATAATTATTTTCATGCATGAAAGCCTGCTATAACGTAAGAAAGTTTGTTCAGTCGTTCAGCTGCACCAAGACTAATCTTTTGACTGATGCGAAGCTCCATTTCAATTCTGCTTGCCATATTTACATTACCGATTTTATTTTTGTAGTGCGGTAACAATCAATTCCTTTTTTATGTAAATGTAAGTTTCTGTGCAACCTTATCGCAGTGCCCTGCATACAATCGACAGAAAAGAATCACGGCAGCAATAAAAATGAAACAAATAAAAAGATTGCACCTATTTCCTGTATACCAACTGTTAAGCTTTTATTTCACTCTTGTGTTTTGGCTGTCATCTCAAATAAATTTATAGCACTGGTGTTTACTTGTTCTACGTGAATAGGAAAAATTTTAACTTTCGTAATCTATGTAGTTAGCCATTTGAGGAGGCAACTTTTTGCAAGCAGTTTCTCTGGTGTCGCAATAGATGGCAGGTAAAGATGAGCGCACACTGCTAACCTACATAGTTAATATTATGTGCTATTAGAAATGCCACTGTCATCTACAGAATTGCAGGTCATCTACAGGTTGCATCATTGGTGATGCATTCATGCGATGCTTTTTCTCAATTTTATGGCTTGACACAGGCTTAAAACATGAACTATAAATTTTTATGGTCATAAATGGGGAAGGCTATGAAGTTGCAAGCATATATTTTTTTTCACAGATTTTTCGTTGAATATGCACTCTACTTAATCAGTTGCACATTCCACGATTTACTTCGTGCGTCTAGTCATGTGATGTTCCTTTCACTTCTGCTTTTTTCGTTGTCATGATTACATGACTTGCGATGGCCTTAGCAATCAGACTTATTCACTGGCTGGCATATTAACAAAATGTTAGTATATGTATTTTAAGGCACAATGGTAAGATTTTTATGCTCATTTTTTTACCACCCTTCTCACAAAAGGGACTATTCGTAGTGTAAACTCACTGTTCAAATCTCAAGTTTTTGAAACATCATCTTATATGATAACAAATTTTTCGTATGTCCTTTTGAATACCACTGTGAGGGTTAGCATCCAAAGAGCAGATGACTGGCAGTTTCTTTGTCACATTTGCCATTGTGGTTATTTCATCAAATGGGGTGCATGGCACAAAGGGATGATACTGAAACTTCATTCTACTTCATTCACGTGCACCTCTGCATTGCTTCTTGTATGCCAGGTATCACATTCTTTCCAGTTTGAAATGTCACTTGCACAGTTTTTCGTGACATGGATGGCGGAATGCGAACCAGACTAAGCTTGTAATTCATTCCAGCTATTAGTAAGAATAAGGGTGCTGCCATCGGGTTGACGATGACTGCAGTTGAGTTCGTTTAATTACTCTGTTAGATCAGAGACGGAACTGGAGAAGGACATACCGTATGCATGGATTCAAACGCGACATGAACTTTTTTAGTGCAGCGATTTGTATACGCAATTGCTCGATATAACCGTGTCATGTCACGATGAATCTGGTCTCTGGACGAATGTTGGCACATTGCTAATGCAAATGGTGCACAGTTGTGTACGTGTTTTTTTTTTCTTTCGAATGTCCTGTCAGTCTTTCTACTGGTTATGTGTTGATAACCAGACTACCACCATGCTGCTTCCTTTTTTGAAAAGGCTTTGGCGTACTGACCATGTCAGATGGGCAAGTTTTGTGTTGCTTTGAGAAAGAGCACATTGCTGTTAGTGTCATTTTAAAGCTCGGCATCATTCAATGTATAATGCGCTCACGGAAATAACTTTGCTAAACCAGAACATGTGGCCTCAATAGCTGTTTCTCAAAGGCAAAATATACACCACGTGGTTGGCTCTATTTCAGAAATTGCATTGGATGAGCTCAAATTTTTCGACTACCCTTGCTGAATACATTGTTTTCCTCCATTAACAAAAGCAGTCTAATTTATGATCTAAAGTTTTTAAATGTGTAGAGAATGTTGAAAACCATTTAGCCATATGATGCAATGGCAAATTCTCTTTGTGTGTGAAAAGTTGGCTTACTTTTCACAAATATTGTTAAGCAATCAAACACATAAGGTGTGGTCTGATTCCCAGATCGGCATTGCTTTCAAATCCATATGTCTTTTTTTACCTAGCTACCACGCCACCAAAGTGACACACTACTTTGGGGAAGTGTGTTCGCTCAAAGTATTGCTAATTTTGCCCAATGGGTATCAGATGGCAAGGGAAAATTTGTTGTTGATAAGAGTGAGACAAGACCTCAGATTGTGTACCTTTAAAGTTTTTTCTACCTATGCTTCAACCACAGGTCTTTCTAACCACTTGGTTCCGGACTTGCGTTTGTATTGCTGCTTTTGCATGGTGCGACAGTCTGCAGGCGCCGGCAGAATGTGCTGTGGGTTTGTCTAGGTTCCGGAATGCAGTTTGACAACCGATATCATTGAAAAACTCTGGTTTGCTGCGCATGGGGCTGAAATGTGGTCATTAATGCTTGCAGTTAGTTGGCACAGTTGTCCAATATAGCCAATTGATTTTTCTTTGTCTTTAGTACTGTTAAACAATCACTGTACAATTTTATATAAACCAACCCACTCAATTAACTGCAATCGTCATCTCAAATATTGTATTTCTGACTTTACAATCTGCACATAAACTTAGCTAATGTTTTCTGTATAGAGGGCATTGATGTACATCACAAAGCATGGCTGTTATTGCCATTTAATGCAACCTTTATTGAAAGGTAGCACAGTTTTCGTTCGAGTCCAGTTTCTTCAATATATACCGCATAGCCTTGTTCATCCAGATATTCCTGGCTGGGGTTCATGTCATACATTCACGTATGCTATGTGCAGCTTATTTAACTTTTCCACAAGAAAAGATGTTGGACATTTATGATACAGTCGAACCCCTTTATAAGGACACTGATATAAGAGACAAATGGTATAAGAGACACCACTGTGCTTGCAGTAAGATATGGGGTGATAAGAAAATGCATACGTCCTACCTTGATTATAAGGGACATCTAATGTAAAAGACAAGAATTGCTGCCTGAAGCATGTCTTTTATGAAGTGGTTCAACTGTACATGCCTTTGTGTGGTAATTGATTGAGCTATCATGCAGAAGATGGCTGTGTGCAACATTCAGTGTTCAGACATTTGTTGTCAGAACTGTAGTGCCTTCAGCAGGGGTGATGTGTGGTCACAAAAACGAGTCGAATGACCCTGACTTTGTTGTCCTGTTTTTGTCGACAGAATCCTTGCATCTGTCGGTTACAGTGCATTTGTGAATTTAACGGAAACCACTTGTCTACTCTTGTGTAGTGTTTCATGCACAAATATTTGTTCACTGTGCACTAAACTTGATCCAAATAAGACGTAAAGGGTTTTTGCAATATTCTGCGAAAAGAGGAATTATGTGCTAACGACATTGTGATATGCGCCCTACAGATGCCCTAGCTGTGTGCTTTACCTCATGAACAGGGCCTCATGGTGCCATATGAATACATGCCTCATTGAGAACACCTGTCTGTTGTAAAGGTCTTTCTTGGCATGAAGAAAACAAGACAAAGATGATGTTCTGTGATCTAGTTTGTATATTGCAAGGCGTGTGTATGTAAATAAAGACCATAGAAATTGGAGCAGTTGTGCTTGATTTTGTGGCATGGAACAACTTGAAAAGGTCTGCCACTGCAGTCGTTCTATGCCCATCAGCTGTGGCAGGCCAAATCTCGGTTTGACTACTTTCATTGGAAAGTCGGAAGGCTGCCTTGATGCTTCACACACATGACTGGTATAAGGAAACAGAAAGAAAGAAGGTCTTGCAGCAGGGCACTGCTACTTTGCAGTCCTACTAGTACTTGTGAGCACTGAAATCTTCATGAATGGTCTCTTTAGTAATATAGTGATTACGATGAAAAACTGGGTGAGTTCATGCAGGTTTATTGTGGCTAACAGCACAAAAAACGCACACAGACTAGAAGCGGACACGGTGCAGCGGTGGCCTGTGCCTACTTAGTCTGTCTCTTGCACTGTTAGCGACAATACTATTATGATCATTGGGGTTTCAGGTCGCAAAACTGTGATACAATTACGAGGGATACTGTGAAGGAGAGCTTCGGAAATTTCGATCATCTGGATCATGGAAATTTATGACACCGTCGAACCCCTTTATAAGGACACTGATATAAGAGACAAAGGGTATAAGACATGGCGTACGAATATACACACACGAAGGGAGAGAGAGTTGTTTCCCTTTAAATAAAAGAGCATTTTAAAAAACAATGTGCACAAATAAAAACTTCAACACAAGCTCCACTTTCTTCGAGCTTTATTTGAAGGGTGCAGTTGGTGCCCCCACATTAAAAACTTTTACAGAATACATCAGCCAGAGGTGGCTTCATTTGTCTAATCTCTCCTATATACAAACAAGTGCTGTCCATTCTGTACATGGCATATATACAAGACATGAGACGTACACAAACTGGGCTACAATAAGAAAGGTGCGCAAAACACCCCAGAGTCCAGTGAGCACCTATCTCTCACTTTTTGTTTTGTTTTGTTTGGCTGTCCTAGAATTGGGAGAGAAAAAAAAAAGTTTGTGCAAACAAAACAAAACAGACGTATCACTGTCCAAGGCTTCTTGGTTTCAGGTTGTCTCGGTTTTTGAGACATTCAGTGGGCTGTCAGTGTGTGGACACAGTGGCTGAAGTGCTGTCCGAGGTCGCTCTCTCAGTATTCTCCTAAAAAACAAAGACAGAGAGAGAAATATGAAAAAGACAGGACAATAAGTCAACGTTAGCTTGAAAAAGCAGTGACATAAAATTTCAAGTTCGAGATGTAGCCTTCATTTGATATCTTGGTATGCATCAGCTTTTTTGTAAAGTTTGAATTGCGTCCATTACATGGAAGTCATTTTATTTGTAGAGCAAATGTACAAAGGCTTAATGGGGCATTCAGCACCTTCAAATATTGACAACACTTTGACATGTCCAGCAGACATTGAAGCATTCAGTCACAATGTGCTAGTAAGGATTACGTCAACGATATGAGTGTTGTCATTGTGGTGTCGACTGGCAAAAATGCCTGGCAATGGCTTCATTTCAATTGTCTGAACTGGTTCATCTCAAATTCTGCATCTTTGCCTCACTGTTTTGAATGATTTCTTGAGTGCTTATCCTTGCATGATAATTCGAGGCAATGATCTCAACATGCATTAAACGCCAGCATGTAATGAAAAAGTTGTGCGCCAGAGGCATTTATGCCAGTGGTGTTTCAAGTGCCACAACAAGAAATGTCTGTTGTGGACAGCTTCAAAAGTCGTTCATAACAGTTTCCAAGTAGGACTGCACATGCAATTTACACTTTCTGTAAACACGTTGCCGCGACCCATTGTACGTTTGCCTTATGGATCCACAAACTGTGCTGCTCTTCGAAGGTTGATAAGTGACATGGGCAAGACTTTCCAACATGGATGCCTGGCTGTAGACGAGATGCGCAGAGCGTCGACAGCGTCACCATGTGTTTCTGTGTGTGTGTGTGCGTGGTTGAGTGATGAAAACAAGCGAGCCCTGTAGAATGCTAGAATAGGCAGATGCGAACAGAATTATAAGCAGTATGGATGGACGTTGAAGACGATCGTTTGTGTTGAGTAAATGGTTTGTTGTTTTTAGTCGTTCATACTGCTTACTTTTCATGTTGAATTCACTTCTTACTGGGTGTCGGTACATTTTTTAGATGCGGAAGCATCTTATACTCGCGCCTTGTAGTGCGCCGTCCGCGCCGTCCGCACCGCTTCTCGAACATTCGACAGCTGACGCGCGCGCATGCGCCGTCGCGCCGTCGCCCACTCTTCCACCATCTGTGCATCCCTTCCTCCTCTACACACCGCGCGCGCTTCACTCCTCCACCATCTGTGCACCCTTCCTCCTCTAGACACCGCGTTCGACATCTACAATTCTCCTGATTCTCCAGTGGACGCGCATGTGGCGTCGCGCTTCGAGAACATTCAACAGCTGACAGTGCATGCGCCGTCGTGCTGTATATATACTCAAGGTCGGCGCTCGCTCGCTCAGTTGCCGCTCGTCGGTTGGTTTGTACGGCGCGTCGACGTCCAAGGTCGTGGTGAAATGAATTCCAACGAATCCACAAACACAATGATCGACGTCCCTTCGACCAGCGCCGCCCTTTCGCATACGTGTGTACGTGTTCACTCATTTAACACCCCCTCCTACAACCACGTTAACCAATTTAGCCATCGACCCAAGTAAGTCGCAATTTAACACCCCATTTCACAACCACGTTAACCAATTTAGCCATCGACCCAAGTAAGTCGCACTTTAACACCCCGTTAACCAATTATATGCTCCGCATCCTCCTCAGTGTTCCCCCGAGGGAAGCTGCGGGCAAATTTTTTTTTATTTATGGAGGCAAGCTCTTCACAGAATAATAGATGCTTGGCAGGCGAGTGTAATACAGATACTGCGACAGGACGATGTGCCTGCTGTGTCACAGGTTAACGGATACTGCTGCAGACCTATCACTTAAAGGTAAATGTATTACCCAGAAATCTTTTCATCTGGGTGAAATCACACAAGTAAACAGACCCTCCCGCCACGTTTAGTCTTCAGTTTTTGATTTTAAAAACTGGCCCTATGTTTCGAGACTCGTTCGGTGTCTTCTTCGAGGAGCTATAGTCTGGCCAGCTCAGAAGCTGCATTTACACATGCAGCTAGCGCTTTTAGTGGCTGTCTCCCAGTCAATCCTCATTTTGCCCATCGTTCTTGTTAATATGTTACTTTCAATGTATTAACAAGAACAACATATTATTTTGTCGGCAAATGTCTAATTCTAAGCGATTATATGTAACGCTTTGAAAAATATTGTTGCCTAGTGCAATATTGTCTTCTTTGTTGCCAAATCTGTGAACCTTAGGTCAATGTAAATTCAGTTTTTTTCAGATACAGACAAGATCGCGATTTTTTGCAATATAGAGCATTGTTTCTTGTCGCCAAATGCTCAGAACCCCTGCTATAGTAGGCAGAACCCTATACAGAAAAACGCCATGCTTTCTTGCTTCACAATGGGTTCACACTTCACAAGATATCTTGAAGAAACTTACTCACAGTGGAGTGCCTTGTCATCACCCCGCGTTTTACCAGGTCTTGCCTTTCATTAATTCATATTCTATAGTTTGTGAGATGAAGAGCCCAGAGATCAAGTAGATCTTATTGCTTCGACTGAATGTTATCAGCTGCTCAAGACACCTCAAAGAGAAGAATCCTAAAAACCGCGAGATAAAACTGGCGGCCATATCTGTAGAAGGCATGCATGTACAGTGAGTGAAAAACCCTGAAAGAGATGGCAATGCCCTGGGACGTAGGCAAAAATATTTTGCAGGGAGGGGGGGGGGACAACTCTTTTAAATGGTAATTTTTCACTCTGCGCCTTGGTAATAAAAACTTTTGGAGTGGAGCAGTGAGCCACCACCTGGCTACACCACTGGCAATGCCTGGTGATTAAAGTCATTGCACAGGTTTCAATGACTGTGCCGGTTCCTCTTCCCTGTCTGCCAGGCACAAAGCTTGCAGAGGTGGCATTAGTCGTCTATTTATATGATATCACAATAACTGTTGGAGTTTCGCATGCCAACAGCACAATGTGATCAAAATGAACGTCCTAGTGGAGGGCTCCTGAAATCTTAATTACGTGGTGTTTTCGAACGCATTCTTAAATCCAAGCAGTACACAGGCTACTGCCTACATCAAAATGTGGCCATACATAGAATATCAACAAACACATTTGGCAGTGAAACAACAAATTCCAGCTACAAGAACTCAAAGAGAGTCTTTGCATTACCAGAAAAAGTAAAAAAAGTTCGGAAGGGAAAGGAACTGCGCACCTTTTGGGACTCTGGCACCTCGTAGCGAAAGACAACGGAAAACATGGCACCACCCAGGCGCTGCGCCAGCCAGTGGTTCTTGATGACGGCTGCCTTGATGGCTTCGCAGCAGAAACGGGCCTCCAGATTGGTGTGCACGGCCCGACCCATGCCTTCCAAGACCACCAAGTCCGTGCCAAGCTCCCGCATGCGCCTCGCCACCTCCACATTGATGCGGCTGTTCATGCGTGGTGAAAATGGGGGGGTTCTCCTTTTGAATTTGTCTGGTGCATTCTGCTCAGAGTGGGCCCTAAATTGATGCATTGTTCAAATCATACTGCTAAATCAACCTTTTAAGATGCTTGTGTTGCCTATGCACATTCCTGAAGCAAGAACATATTAATACTTTTAAACAATGTATCAAGCAATCCTTGCTATCTGCCTTCAAACTCCCTTCTTAATAATGTCTGTTCATGCGTTGCTTTCTTTTTCTACACATTCTGCATATGTAAACATTATTTAAACTGAAATCTTTTTTTAAGCTACTAATTTCATGATGTAAATATAAGGACAAGCTATCACGCATAATGTACAATGTAAGCATTGACTGATAATGATTCATCCTGGAAATGCATTTCCAGTACAAACTTAGAATAAAGCCAGTGTGAAGGTTTGGTTATCAGTTGCGTTTATTATCACCTTACTATGCTACTAGCTTAACTATGGAAACAACTAGTTAACTCGTAATAAAGAGCTGCTGGCTGTGTCATGTTGGATATTGCATTATTATTGTTATTCACGTCTTTCATGTTGCAAGATCTGAAATAAGATCAAAAGTCAACTAGCACCATTCCATGTGCAGGCATTCTTCTTATGCTAATAATACAATGTGTGAGCATACAAAGCAAGAAATGAACAGAAACAATGTGACAGCACATATATCGTAAGTTTTCTTTATGTTTTTCTACGCTCCTGAGCTGAATTTTTAATGAGAATCCCGCCTAACATTAGCAGTGGAAGTGATATAATTTTTTGCAAGTGATACTTGTAATATTGTCTTGGACATTTGGTTCACAAGTAAATGCATCCTGTGTACAAAGCGTATACTGAAAACGTACGTTGCCATCTCGGATATATGTGGCCCTGAAAGTGTGCTGTTCCTAATGGAATAGCGATCATTTCTTGTGTCAGTGGAAATAGCCATGCTAAGTTGACCCCCATTTTGGTTGAGACATGCGGCCAAACAAGGCCATAAATTTGAAGGAATTTGTGTGTGATAGAGAAAGAAGTAGTATGATGATTGTTTGAAAATATATAATGGCCTCTGGGTGCTAGGGCCCTATCATTATACATAAATGAATGAATTTTCTTCAATGAGCTTCACTAGAACATGCCTGTGTGAAGCGGTGAAATATAACAATATCCAATGTAACTGCAGTGTCGCCAAGCCTGCCACCTGATGCTTACATATTTTATCAAATTATTATTATATTGAATAATTTTCCAATTAATTTCAGATCAGAGTAGTATCCAGTCATTTAATTGCAAATTAATATGGACATAGTTTTGTTCTCGTATTACATAGGCATGCTGCTTTGCCAAATAATTTGTTTCTTTCTTTCCTGACCTTGTAGCATTCATTATTGACAACCAACAGCCTTTAATTAGTCAAGAATGGAGGAAAGTAGATTATGACATGAGATTTCCTGTGTCACTGACTAATTAGCCCTGCTGGTTGAAAATTATCAATTTCTACTAACCCAGCTATCTATTTTGGTTCTGTAGTGTTCAGCAAAGCATTTTATTTTTTTATTGAAAACAGTGCGACACATGCTCTTGTAACTTCAAAAACATTGGGTGTAAGCATGCTTGACTGCAATGCAATAAAAGTGTAACTGCAGTCGACATGTCTTTCATGGGAGTACCGTGAAAATAAGAACTATAACAAAAGTACTAATGCTTGGGCAAGTCAGTACTTAGCTAATTAATGAATAAGTACCGCATAACATTTATAAAGCACTATGCACGTCTTGACGCAGTAGGCCCCTCACCTGAGGTCTAGGCAGGGCGAGCTCTGTCCTGAGTCGAGCACCTGCAGGTGACCTTGCACTAGAGCCTCGCGCATTTTTGGGCACACGCCGTCGGCCACCCTCTGCACGAGGATCTGCAGTTCTTGGTGGGTCACGTCGTTCAGAGCGGGACGGGTGTTAGCGCACAGCAGCACCTGAAGGGCAAGCGTGCTGTCATTGCACACACTTGACTCGCGCTTTCAATGAAAAAAAAAAAAAAAATGTCCTCCAGCAGGACCAGTTACCTCTACTACAGGACAATAACCTCAAGAAAGGAGAGTGAGAGAGAAGGTGAAGTGTCTCACATTTCGCAAGTATTGCTAGCCCCAGTGAATTTGAATGATGCAATAAAGATCATGTTAGCGAACAAATATCTGAAAATGTCAAGCTTGTGTGTCATTCTTTGCCATGTGCATACTTAATCTAGGGTCAAGCTTTCCCTAGACAACGTTGATGCTTTAAGGCAAGTGAGTGAAGGCTCCATACCACTGTGGTCCCAATATTCCTGCTTTACCTATGGGCTAGGGTTAACACTACAGCTACATGGTGTCACCTACATGCAGGGCTGGGCAAAGATACTTTTGAAATTGTATCCCGATACGATACAAGATTCCCAGACAAAAAGTATTAGAGATACAGATACACGATACTGCTACGAAAATTGTAGTTGATACGATACTTGCCAATTGTATCTTAAGATAATTCGATAAATTCACAAACTTGCTGTTATAGGCCCCCTGAATATAGAAGCAAATGCGTGTGCACAAAAATGACGACTTAAGAAATGTGTCTAATTCTATTTTAATGAAACGCTTCTTGGTATCTCAAATATATGATTAAACTCTTCCACCACGCTGACTCTGGCATGTCCGAGGAGAAGAAGGTCCGTCTGCTCATGCGAGGAGTAAAGCAGGAACTCTTTGCCGGGCTGATCAGGAACCCGCCAAAGATGGTTGCCGAATTATTTCAGAAGCATCTACGATAGAGAAGACACTCGCGATGCGCACGCGGCACTATAACCGTAGCTTCTCGTCTACAAGCTACGCCGACATTCAAGCGCTAGGAACCACTGACTTGCGTGAGACGATCCGAGCAATCGTGCAAGAGGAGCTGCGAAAATTACTTCCTTCAGCGCAGCCTCACGTGAAATCCATCGCAGACGTCGTACGCCAGGAGATCCAGCAATTGCTGGGCGTTCCTCAGCCTCAAGAGCCGCAGCTGCAAGTCATGAGCTATGCTCATGACTTGCAGCTGCGGCTCAGATGTCATGGGGTCGTGACGTGGCTGAAGACAGAAGACTTATGTTGGGATTTAACTGTTTATTTGGGCCAACCTGTGCCCAGTAAAGGGAAAGTCCGATTACAGTAGCAGTCTTGCACAGATAGCAGTGAATGGATCGTCGGCCGTCGATCAACTACTGACAAGGGGCAAAGTGCATCGACATTTATACTCTTGCCATAGAATGTTCTAGCGTTATCGCTGGCGGTGACGAGTATTCCAGAATAATCCGTACAGTTCGCGGAGTGGGCATGATCTAATCGAAATGATCTACTACAGTCCCGAAGCTTCTCGAAAACAGCAGGCACGGTTTGCACTCAGAATTGTGTAGTGTATTGGGGCGATAACAAAGCTTGAGGAATGGCACGTGGCAGTATACTGAAAACGTATGTTGCCATCTCGGATATATCTATCACTGTGGCCCTGAAAGTGTGCTGTTCCTAATGGAATAGCAATCATTTTCTGTGTCGGTAGACATAGCCATGCTAAGTTGATGATCCCCATTTTGGTTGAGAGACATGCCCAAACAAGGCTATAAATTGGAAGTAATTTGTGTGTGATAGAGAAAGAAGTAGTATGATGATTGTTTGAATATATATAATGGCCTCTGGGTGCTAGGGCCCTATTGCTATACATAAATAATGAATTTTCTTCAATGAGCTTCACTAGAACATGCCTGTGTGAAGCGGTGAAATATAACAATATCCAATGTAACTGCAGTGTCGCCAAGCCTGCCACCTGATGCTTACATATTTTATCAAACTATTAATATATTGAATAACTTTCCAATTCATTTCACATCCGAGTAGTGTCCAGCCATTTATTTGCAAATTAGTGCAGATATAGTTTTGTTCTCGTTTTACATAGGCGTGCTGCTTTGCCAAATAATTTGTTTCTTTCTTTCCTGACCCTGTAGCGTTCATCATTGAGAACCAACAGCCTTTAATTAGTCAAGAATGGAGGAAAGTAGGTTACGACATGAGATTTCCTGTGTCACTGACTAATTAGCCCTATTGGTTGAAAATTACCGATTTCTACTAATCCTGCTACCTATTTTGGTTCTGTAGTGTTCAGCAAAGCAGTTTCTTTTTTTCATTGAAAACAGTGCGACGCATGCTCTTGCAACTTCAAAAACATTGCGTGTAAGCATGCTTGACTGCAATGCAATAAAAGTGTAACTGCAGTCGACATGTCTTTCACGGGAGTACCATGCAAATAAGAACTATAACAAAAGTACTGATGCTTGGGCAAGTCAGTACTTAGCTAATTAATGAATAAGTACTGCATAACATTTATAAAGCACTATGCGCGTCTTGATGCAGTAGGCCCCTCACCTGAGGTCGAGGCAGGGCGAGCTCTGCCCTGAGTCGAGCACCTGCAGGTGACCTTGCACTAGAGCCTCGCGCATTTTTGGGCACACGCCGTCGGCCACCCTCTGCACGAGGATCTGCAGTTCCTGGTGGGTCACGTCGTTCAGAGCGGGACGGGTGTTGGCGCACAGCAGCACCTGAAGGGCAAGCGTGCGGTCATTGCACACATTTGACTCGCGCTTCCAATGAAAAAAAAAAAATGTCCTACTGCAGTACCAGTTATCTCTACTACAGGACAATAACCTCAAAAAAGGAGAGAGGGAGAGAGAGAGAAGGTGAAGTGTCTCACATTTGGCAAGTACTGCTAGCCCCAGTGAATAATGCAATAAAGGGCATGTTAGCAAACAAATATATGAAAATGTCGAGCTTGTGAGCCATTCTTTGCCTTGTGCATACTTAATCTAGGATCAAACTTTTCCTAGACAACGTTTGATGCTCTGAGGCAAGTGATTGAAGGCTCCATACCACTGTGGTCCCAATATGCCTGCTTTACCTGCGGGCTAGGGTTAGCACTACAGCTACATGGTGTCACCTACATGCAGGGCTGGGCAAAGATACTTATGAAATTGTATCCCGATACGATACAAGATACGTAGACAAAAAGTATCAAAGATACAGATACAAGATTTTTATTTCATTGTCACCGCATTTAATCTCTCCCGTGAGTGTCTGAGTTGTATTAGTTTCCTATGTTCAGCGCTAGCTCAATTGCATCACGCTTCGTCGATTGTGTCGGTATGTGTTTTTCTCGCCTTTTTTTTTTGTCAACAAACCTTGCTCATTCTGAAGCGCTGCATTGACTTCAATGTTTGTAAATCCCTGTTTTTCTTCTATGTTTCCCCCAACATTTTTTTTTTCTGTTTTAAGCATCTGTTGTTTTCTTGCCCTGGAAAATGTCCAATCAAGTGTATCTGTCACCCACTCCTCCCTACGACTTCGCATAGAAGTCGGCAGTATTCACTAAATAAATAAATAGATACTGCCACGAAAGTTATATTTGATACTTGTCAATTGTATTTTAAGATACTGCGATACATTCACAAATTTGTTGTTATAGGCCCCCAAATCAAGCCCCATTTTTGTATGCACGAAAATGACGGCTTGAAAATTTCTGAACTGTGCACAATTTCATTTTAATGAAGCGCTTATTGGTATCTCAAATTTCTGCACCAAAGTAAATTACTTTACTTCCGAAAGAAGCTATCCAGGTTTGATTCTTGCTTGTCATTTCTGTAATTGACGCTCGGAGTCGCGGCTGAGCTCGCCGACCAGCTAGCAGATTGTCCATCTAATCACACGAGCTTCAGTAAGAGGCCTTCGCACGACGGCGCGAATACCAGAGCACAGTTTCAGCTTGTATATAAAAGATCCGTTTTGCAATACCAAAGCACCGGTGTATAGCAGCCATCAATGCTGATAGCGACATTCTTGTGGAACATCGCATATATAGGGAGGCCTAATGTAGAGCGCATGAAGCTACTATTACTTTTCCTATTCTAACTGCCGGCGTTAAAATGTTCAGTTATCTATATACTCTCCAATTAACATGGAATCAATTTTCTTGAGCGAGAGGACATGTGCACCTCAGAATCTCCTCAGACCTATTATATTGTCACGTGGCGTGACTATTAAAAAGCAGCAGTCACTCTGGTAGAAATGAAACTCGCTAAGGAGCTAACTTCTGCCCAGAAAACTAAGTAATTCAATGAAAAGATAAAGCATGCTGTACTCTCATAGTGACAATAACTGTCGTCAGCCTTCGAGGATCCAATTATTGACAGAACGCGTCTTGTATTTATACAACATTGATTGCACCTTCTAGCGTTATCGCTGGCGCACCCATAAGCTCGCGAATTGACACGAGTATGCATACTGCGCATGTAATCTGAATAACACTTGTTCAGTATTCATTTAAGGCCTAGAACTCCGATATGATTATGAGGACCGCAGAAGTGGAGAGCTCCAGAAATTTCGACTATGTGATAGCTGTGTAATGTGCAATCAAGTTTCTAAGTACATGCACCTCTAGCATTTCACCTTCATCGAAGTGCAGCTGCCCCAGCAGGATTTGCCCGCAATCTTAACAGCACAACATAAGACAATCTCAAAGGCTATGAAACATCGCGGGCGGCTTACGCCACGTGGTCATAGGTAAGTTTTTTTGCAACTTAGACCCGATCACACCAAAATTAAAAATAAAATAAGATCGCAGTGGCAGCATAGTTACACAAATCGTTGCGGGACAACGCCACTATTCATGCTATTCTTTCTTGTATCTAGGATTACCTGGCAATTAGAAATACAGTAGACTCCATTTAACCGAAACTCTCTTAAATGAAATTGCTGCTTAAATGGAACAACTGCAACTAATATGTTTGGTCTCCTACTTGGAAATTGTACCCATGTTTTTCTCTCAGTAAACAAAACTCCTCTCTCAAAGGAAACACATTTTTTTGGTCCCTTCAGGTTTCGTTTATAAAGAGTCTTACTGTAGTAAAAAAATTGGAAGAAAAAAAAAGAAAAAAAAAACTAAAGCAGAAATGGCCGTTCTGTTTTAAGCATTCATGGTGAATAAGTTGAGATGCACAATACAGGTGGCATTCCTAATAGCTATCACAATTATGCATGAAGTATCGTCAACTTACCTGTTAAGGTAAGATAATAAAAAAAAGGGCCTATAAAAATTACCTAAAAATGACTCGTTAGGATATTCATAAGAAAATGAACCATTTGACATGACATTGCTTTTTGAATCCCCTTTCTAATGTCTTTAAAATAGATCCTAATGATTCAACGTGATTTTTTTGTCAGGCAGTAGCAGAATGTTTATGGCTGTATACTCACTGCATGCTGACATAATGACATAGTACTTGCTTCCCAAATCGCCATGGCAGAAGAGTATGTGCAAGTAAATATTAATGTATCAGTATATAGTATCAATAACAAAGCAGACAATGAAGGTAAGCATAAAAAGAAGAGCTTATTTCAACTGTACTTTACAAAAGGCATATTGCATTCACAAGAGCGGAAAAAGAAACATGTCAGAGCAATAGGTGATGTATGCGATGCAAGAGCACAACTGAGAAAGCACTTGTGCTAACAATTGTATTGTAATTTCAAGAGCTCTTTGAATGAAAACAGCAGAAAGAAAGTGGCATAGTACAACAAGCTATCACCTGGTAAGTACATGCTTGTTGTATTAATGCAGCATCAGTACCGGCATTGTTATAGACTTTTTGCCTAAGACATCTGGGTGCCCCCATCTTGCTGTGTTAAGGCAATATTTTCTTGTTTTCTGTAGATTGCGACATGAATTAATAAAGTCATGAAGCATTGCATGCACCAATACAACTGTTTTCATGCGTGTGCATGCGTGTTTCATGCGTGTTCCTTCAGTTGTTAAATATACAAACACCCAATATGGTGGCACGCAAACCTATCCGTAAAATAGTCTATAGTTCAACACAGGAGAGTGACATCGAGAGTTGTGTGGTCATCACTGCATGCATTGTGGTACGTGACGCTTGCAAGTGGCTTAGAGTAAGTGTCATCGCTCTGACCCAACCAGAAAAGAAAAGAAATCTTGAAAACGAAAGGCACGTGGGCAAGCCCGCGAACATGGTTTCTGTTTGGACTGTGGAAGCTCTGTTGTTTGGCTCTAATTCACTAAAAGGGACATGCACACCTCATTGCCTGCCTTAACTGGAGGAGTCGAACAAAAAGATAAAACGGTGTCACTGCCCTTAGTTTTATTCAGGTGGCTTAGTGGCACTGGTATCAGCCTGAGCAGCGGAGTTCAGTCAGCGATTAATGTTTCGCACGGTATATCATTTCGTACACAGTACCGTGTACCTTAAGATACGCTGTTGTGACTTCCTTTATTCATCCCTCGCAGCAGAATAGCAGTCATCATCATTATTGAGCCTCCTCACGAGCTGACGCTTGGCCTCGTGGCAGCGCCAGCTCACCCTTGTCATTTTCTTTCTTATTTAGTTCTATTAAAGCCTTTCATCTGGCAAGACGTGTTTTGGTTGATGTGAGCCGCGCCGCAGCAGAAAGGCTCAGAGGTCCAGCACATGGTGCCGAAACCCGGGATGAAGTCCTTAAACGACAATCTAGAAGCCGGCCCAAATCTGAATCCCGACGTAGTGACGCTACTGCTTCATTTCCAACGCTACAAGAGAGCAATGAATGCTGATGTTGAGAAGGCGTTCCTTCAAATTGGCCTGGAAGAACACGACAGAGATTCACTTCGCTTCTTGTGGCTCAAGGCTTCACCTCAAGTGGACAGCGCACTGCCGGAAACAGTTTGGAAAGTAACGAGAGTGCCCTTTGGAGCTACTTCAAGTCCTTTCCTATTGACTGCAACCTTAAAGCACCACTTCAGGTCCGAAGAAAATCGCTTTCCTTTGACAGCTTGGCTATTGCAAGACTCCATATATATGGATGATGTTCTTATTGGCGCTGACACCATTGAACAAGCTGTTCAAATGCATAAAGAGATAATTGAAATCTTCAAAGATGCTTCAATGAACATTTGCAAATGGGCCAGCAACGACTCTGTTGTATCTGCCGTCTTCGTACAAGGAATTACTTCTTCCGAAAAATCACTTTGCTCACCTTCTGAACCTTTGAAAGTCCTGGGACTTTATTGGAACAAACAGACGGATACCTTTCTGTTTAGGCCCCAGGATATTCTACAGTTTATGGAGGAGCATCGAATTACCAAACGCTTTGTGCTCCAAGCTGTTGCAAGGATCTACGACCCTTTGGGGTTTCTGTCCTCCTTTATAGTAAGGGCAAAGATCTTCCTACAAGATCTCTGGAGGGAAAACTTCGGCTGGGATGACACCATGCCAATGAAGCTGTCAGCTGGGAAAAAATGGAGCAAGGAGGTAGCCATGCTACATGAGATCAGTATTCCCAGGTTCCTCGCAGCGGGCAGCGAAGGCTCTTATCAAAAAGCAGAACTGCACATGTTTTCCGTCGCTAGTGAGTCAGCATACGGTGCTGTAGCCTACCTTCGTACTGTCCACTCAAGTGGTACCGTCCACACTATACTATTAATGGCAAAGACAAGAGTTGCACCGTTAAAGAGGGTTACTTTGGCGAGGCTGGAATTAATGTCAGCTTTGCT